GACCAGGGAGGGAGGAGGGAAAGGGGAGGAGAGGAATGTCAGGATGATGGAGGGAAGGAAGAGACACTTCAGCATGTCCCAAACTGATGGATGAGGCGATTCAAGCATGAGCAGGAACCGAAGAGAAGACGAGAAGCAGGTCAGGGTGCGAGGATGGGTGTGCAAGAGCAAGAGCAGGGAGGAAGGTCAATGTGCAAAGCAGGACACACCAGGAGGGGGCTTAGAGGGTAATGGGAATTACTGCTGTAAGTTTATTAGTCTAATGAGGAAGATCCGCTGCTCAGCAGCGAGGGGTGGTGCTGGGACCCCATGTGTTGGATGCCTTTGGGGCAATGGGGTTTGCTGGAAAGTACATCATGTGGAGGGGCCAACCCCACAGGTACCAGGATGCACTGGATCTTCTCAGACTGGGACAGTGATCTGGGGAGCTGCCAACGTAACATCCTCTCTGAAAACCTGCTGGTATGATTTCTCAAAGTTTTGGGGAGGAGCCGAGGACACACAGTGAGGAGAAACCGGGGAAAAATGGGAGAAAAAGTATTGTGAGACCTCAATGATGCTCCAAGCATCTGGGCACAGGTTTAGTTGGGTCCCTGCACTTCACTCCGTGCATGTCACTGTCACTCGAAAGGTGCCAGGCAGGATCCAGGCTGGCCCAGGCACCTTCCCAGCCTGCCTGGAAACCTGGTGATTTAGGGACAAAAGTGCCAGTCTGTGGTTGGAGAGGTTTCACTGCCGAGGGCAGGCACTGGCAGCTGCTTCTCTCCCAGCACAGCTTCCAGGAGTCATCATCATCTCGAGGCACTTGGGTTGAGACTTTCCCGTGCTGTGGGATTGAAGCAAAACCTGTTCTCTGTGTCACTCTGCATCTCCATGTTAAAAATCCCTGCACCAGCCAACATCCCTGGAGTCTTTTCCCTTCTCATTTTCTCGCCCTGCCCTGGAGATGACGAGTTTGGGACAGTATTTATTCCCATCCTTCCCTCCCACCTGGATCCTGGGAGCTGTTTGTGGGTTGCTGACAGCTGATGAAACCCATTTCTACATGGCAGTGGGTACCTGCTCAGCATCTCCTGGGCTCCGGCAGTGCTGCCGCTACGTCGGGCAGGAGCGCAGCTGCCTGCGGCCACGACCCTCGAGACAAAACCAGTGGGACCAAACCTGCCGCCTCCGTGGGAGATCTCTCAGCTCTCCAGATTTTATCCGGTGTTTAATTATTGCCATCTGCTATTCCAGGCTCCAGGGGCTGCTCGGTCTGTCTGGTGGTTGTTGGTCTCTGGTTAAATCAGCCCTGTTGGATTTTCCTCCCATGCGGACTCATCACTGATTTTCCTGGATGATGCTCTCATCCCTATCTGATCCAGGGCAGCTCTCTCCTTCCCGGCTTGCAACGCTCATTTAATTCAACGTTACAGTTACGCTTTGGTAAATCCTTCCCATTTTTCATCACTTTCATCATCTCTTAATAACATCCATGTCATGGGGTTGCTGGTGAATTTCAGAGGGCTTGTGCTGGGCTGCAGCGTTTCCCAGCCTTTCATCAGCAGGGCATGGCACAGACCCTCTAACACATTGAATTAAATGAGCATGAAGAACCCTCCTTATAAAGAAAGCCAAGAACATTAAATGGTCCAAACCCACACTTCCAAATTAGTTGACAACCCACCACTTCGAAGATGAAAAATCAAATCTTTATGCCTATGGTTAAATGAATCCTTAACAAAATTTTACAGCCGTCGCTGTAACACCTCCCCAGTCCTAAACATCCCAGAGCACTTCTGGTTCATGTGCCCTAGGAGAGGGAACGTGTTGGGAAAAGCTGTCCAGCATGGTGTGACCACGCTCAGGGTGCTGGCTCTGGCAGCAGCCACAGATGCTATTTTGGGTGAGCCTGGTCTGCTCCCTCCCACCCCCTGGCACCCCAAGTTGCTGTGTTAGAGGGGACATCCCTGCCTCGATCGCTGGGGAGGATCCATGGACATGCTGCCCATGGAGGTGTCTAACCCTGAACTGAACCCTCAGTCTCTTTGGCTGCTTCATCCCTGGAGTGGTTCACATTTTTCTCTGCCCACTCAGCATCTTCTTTCCTTCCTCCAGGGCTTTTATATCCTGGGAAATGGGAGATTAGGTCAAACCTTTGAGCAGGAATGACGCCACACCGGAGGGAAGACCTCCACCACCAAACCCTGCTACCCATCTACCCATCCTACCCAAACCCCCCGCGGGATGGGACCGAGCTCCTCCTAAACCCTCGGCTGGTTTCCTCCCAGTGGGGTGGCCAGAGCGTGTCCCTGCCCGTCACTGCCTGCGGGTGGCAGGGAAAGGGGTGGCTGTTTCCAAGCCAGGTCAGCCCCTTGGCTGGGTCCGTCCTGCAGCTTCCCTGGCCCAAGGCTGGGAGAGGAGGATGATAAGGAGGAGGAAGAGGAAAAAGAGGGGGTTGGGCACTCCTCACCCCAAACTGCTCTCTCTCCCAGAGCTGACACTCTGGGTCTCAGCGGAGGTGTCCAGCTGTAGCACCTCCTTCACAAGCCATGGAGTTTGGCTTTTTTGGGTGATCTAATCCTGCACAAGCTGCACGGGCAGCCTGGATGCCGGGCACAGGGTGGGGATCTGCAGCAGCATGTGATGAGGAGTGGCACATCCTGGCCATGATGAGATGGCAAAATCTCACTTCTCTTCTCTTTCGTGTCGTGATTACTTTGCATCTCACCCATTGGCCTTCATCCAGATCATCACCTTCCTCTGCTGTGCTTTAATTGGTCACTGCTGCAGCCAAATTATGCTACTGAGCATCCCCAGCCCATTCCAAGCTGCCCAGCGTGTGCCCATGGCTCTTGCCCGCATGACACAAGAGCATCAGGGCTCAGCGGCACCACGGGGGCAGAGACCTGGGGAGCTCTTGTGTTGGGAGGACATCGGGTTGCATGAAGATGCCCAAGGGACATTTCTGGTCTCCTGGTGGCCTCTGTGCAAGTGGCAGCTTTTGCCATGGTGGAGCTGGCAAAAGGGACTTGCCCAAGGAGACACAACACGTCCCAGGGCCGTGTCCTTTCACCACCACCTCTTCCCAGTACCTCCCACCACAGCCCATCTCCAGGAGTGATTAAGGTTTATTTCTGCCCTGCCCTCCTGTATCCCATTAGGGGAATTTAAAGCAGGAGCCAGCAGCCCCAAGGACCTTCTGTGTGACTCCAGGAGCTTTTAAGTTGACACCACATTAAGCCCCCCAGAAACAGTCCCTGAATAGCGGGAGAAATCCCTGCTCACGGGGCAGAGGCCCTGGGGTTTATGCAACATTATTTGCCCAGAGCTGGGTTGGATTTGCTGCCTGTGGGACCGGGAGGACGCAGCAGGGCTCAGCACGGTGCGGGCGTTGGCACCTTGGACCTTGCTCCCAAGGGAGCGGCAGGGATGCGGGGGGTGGGGGACAGCCCGGTGGGCTCCCCGTGACAGCAATGCTGCCTCCCAGGAGCGTTCAGGATTCCCCTCCTCCCTGTGACAACCCTGTCCCCCTCCGGGGTCCCGGCGGCTTTTCTGTCTGTGCCAGCATCAAAGTCCTGCTCTCTCTGCACGGCTTTTTGGTGTGCAGGGTGAGCGTAGGGGTTGTAACCCCTGCTGCATCCCGGGCACCCCATCCTGGGCACCCCATCCCGGCATCCCTGGAGGTGTTTTGCTGCAGGAAGGAGACGGGCAGGATCCAGCCTGGTCCTGCAGGCTGTTTATTGCCTGGTTCTCCGGCGCCTGAGCCAGCAGGAGCTGCTGGGCTGCCGGGAAGGCAGCTTTGAGCCAGCCCTGCAGGGCTCCTGCCTCGCTGGGATGTGCAGAGTCTGTCTGTCTGTCTGTGTGCAGCGTGTGTGTGCATGCGCGCACTCGTGTATGTGTGAATCTGCATGCACGCAGGGTTGCACGTGTGCACGCATGTCTTTATGCGTACGTCCGTGTGACAACATGCGTGCACAGGTCTGTGTGCTTGTGCACGCTCGCATGCTCACACCATCGTGCACGACGGGCGTGTGAGCCCCGGCTCCCCCCGGCCCCTGTTCCCAACGGGTTCCCAGGGTGACACGGCGGGTGCTCCGGTGCCATCGCGGCTGCCACACGCTGCCTGCCCCTGTCCTGCCGCCCGGAGCAGCGGCTGTGGGGCCAAGGGCTCCCGCCGGGTGAGCAGGGGCTGCTGTGGGGCGCTCGGTGCCAGGTTCGGGACATGAACGTGAACGTGTGGTGTGTGATGAGAATCTCTGTGACCAGGAGGTGACACGGCTCCAGCGCTCACGGGAGCTGGCAGGAGCCCTCGCACTGACCTAGGGGTGCACATGTGTGCTGGCATGCATGCAGGGCACACAGCATGCACACATGTGTGTCAGAGGGTGCCACGTATGCACATTTATGTGCCAGTGGGCGCCAGGCACGCACACACATGTGCCATGGGACACCATGTAAGCACACGTGTGCCAGGGGATGCCATGCGTTCACACACACACGCTCCGATGCACCATGCAAGTACACTCATGTGCCAAAGGGTGCCATGCAGGAACAAACATGCGCTAGAATGCACCATGTATTCACTTACTTGTGCCAAGAGATGTCAGGCATACACATATGTGTGCCATGGGACACCACGCATGTACATGTGTACGGGAGGACACCACACATGCACACCCTGGGGCTCAGCTCCAGCTGCATGTACACATACGCTCACACACAACAGCCCGGCCAAAGGTGATGCATGCAAGCATGCACATATGTGTGCCAATACACACACACACACACACACCCCACTGCACACGCAAATGAACGCAGCTCCAGAGTGCCGTGGATGGTGCACGGGTACACACATACACCCACGCAGGGAGCATTGCACAGACACAGCTCGCAGGGCCACCCGCCCTGCCCATGTCACACCCCTGAGCCTCGCTCCATGCCTCAGTTTCCCCACCTGGAAAGGGTCCTGTGATTAATCACCTGCTGGGTTAATGATTCATTTCTCCTCCTCCACACAGTCGGGGTCACTTGTCCCTCTCAGCACGGTGCCTGTGCCCAAGGACTCAGGGACGTTGGTTTGTCCTCCACCGGAGAGTGATTCCCAGGGGGACGCTGGTGAGTTCATGCCCCCCACAGCAGGACAAGCTCCCACTGCCACCAGCTTGAGGACACTAGTCCCAGCATTGCCACCAGCATCCAGCTTGGAGGGGACAGGGCTGCTGGGGTTATGCCTTGGGGGTCCCTGCGCCCCATGAGTGGGTAGAGGGGGTTTGGGGAATGTGGAGGCCACCCTGTCACTGTGAAATCCTCTGCCAACCCCCACCCCCCACCACCACCTGCAGCTGCAAAATCCTTCTGTAAAAGCTAAAAATATTTACCAGCACTGAGCAAACATCCCAGTAAGGTCCCAGCAGCGGCGTGCACCAGGGCCAGCTCCATGCTGGCAGGATCTGCACCATGTCTGGTGCTGGGGGCTTCCCTGGAGAGCCCCCCACCTGCTCGAGGGCACCCCAGCGTCACCACTGCCTGCCCTGGCTCAGCAAAGCTGCTCTCCAAGGGACATGGTGGGGTCCCCAGGTTGGGGACGATGTGCCCTTGTCCCCTGGCACTGCAGCTGGTCCCGCTGCGCCCTCTCCACCTCCCTTTCTGTCCCTCCTCCCAGCCGGGTGTCACCCCCATGTCCCTATCCCTGCTCTCCATTCTTCCCTCGCTGCCACCCCCTCCTCCTACCTGCCCACCAGGGACGAGGAGGGGTCCCTGCCTTTCACAGCCTGGCACGGTGTGGCCATGCAGGGAGGAGGGTGCTGGATGCTATGGGGACACAGCCTCTCCCACCCCCGGGCACTGCTCCCCGCTCCCTCCTTCACAATCCGTTGGCACCAGCCCCATCGCTGACCCCCTGCTCTGCCTCCCCCCAGGTCAGAGCCGGAGGGGACCCAGCCGGCAGTCCCAGTCTCTTGTGTGGCCCCTCGCTGGCTGGGAGACGTCTGGAAGGAGAATCACCAGGCCAGGGAGTGGAGCGGGACCCTGGGCCCGGGGGAGACGCAGCACCAGGCCAGGCTGGAGGGTGCCCGGTAAGGCTGCTTGGGGTGGCGGGTGCTGGTGGGACCCCTGAGGACACCCCCCCCCTCCCCTTTCCTCCATGATGTGGTGACCAACGAAGATCAGAGCACCCAAAGGTGCCAACCCTGGGCATGGGGGGAGTCCCATGGGTAGGGTGGCCCCTGCCTTCGAGCCTGCAGTCCGGGCGGGCAGAGGGGGTCCTGGAGGGCTCAGCCCCACTCCCCGGGCAGCTGCAGGCGGGGGATGCTGGAGCAGAGCAGGGTCCCCCTTGCCCTCCGCGCTCAGAGGGGCTGACGGCGAGGGGACCGTGTCTCTCCAGGGTTAGCATGACCGAGGTGGAACCCGTGCTGGACTTCGCATCCTCCGGGAGAACGGGCCGGCGCAATGCCCTGCCCGACATCCTGGGCTCGCCGGCCGGCGTCAGCCCCTCCGACCTGCCCCTCAAGCTGGCCGAGATGTCCCTGAACGCAGGTAGGTGGGGGGGGGGGGGGTCGGGGGGGAGATGCAGGACAACACAGGGCGGGCAGGAACCGGGGTTGCTCATAACCCTCATCTCTACTCATAGGCAGCGCCCAGGAGATGCAGTCACCCTCGGCGGAGGTGCCCCCTCCGCAGCCCCCCAGCCCCGAGCTGAAGGACACGTCCTAACCTCGCTCCTGGGGGGGGGACGTTGCTGACCAGCGGAGGAAAGAGGAGGCTGCGGAGCATCAGCCCGGCTTTCCTGGCACGGCCGGAATCCGCTGGGTTTTCCTCGGTGCTACCGCGGCGAGACCGTCGGGTGTCATCCCCCCCCCCCGCCGTGGGGGGAGCATCGCATGGCGGGGACCTGCCGTGACAAAGGGGCGATTCCCACCCACGCCCTGGGCGAGGACCTGGGGGGGCGGATTTTTTTTGCCTCCCCCGGGGGGGGAGAAATATTTTTTTTCTGGGGCATTTGGCAGAGCCAAGCGCAGGGGGTTTACCGGGAGGGGGGGGTGTGTGTCTTTCTCCTCGTTGAAGGAGCAGCCCGCGGGTGTTTCTAGCTGAGTGTGGTGTTCACTGTGATGTTTTGGGTACCACCTCCGTCTCCTGGCCTTTCTTCCCGGGTGATGCAGCAGCCTTTTTCAAGAAGAGGTCGGGGGGGGAAGCACTACAAAACGCCAACAGCCCCCACAGCCCTTAAGCAAGCACCTCCCCCCCCCCCCCCCAGCAGCCAGCACCTTGCTGAGGGGTCACACCGAGGAGCAGAGCACCCCAGGGTGGTCCCTGCCCCAGGGGTGCGGGGGTCTCGGCTGCTGGGGACAGAGGGATGTCGGTGATTTTGGAGGGGATGAGCGGGGTGATGCTGGTTTGGGCATCCCCAGCCCTGCACACCATCCCCGTGCCAGGGCCACCCATGGGTGCCCACGCCTGGCTCCCCTCCTGCAGCCCTGGGAGCCCCTCTGTGTCCCCGGGGAAAACCCGGGGAGGGGGAAGCAGCAGCAAACGGGGCCAGACGGATCCTGCGGTGCTTTGGGGGTGTGCATGCCGGGCTTTCCCAGGCTCTGACTGTGGTCCCCCCCCCCAAAATCTCTGCTTCTGCCGGCAGGGTGGATGGGGACCCTCTGCCCGGGCATCGAGGGGCTGGGGGAGGCGGGAGGCCAGCCACGAAGGACTTGGGTTGCCCAGATCCTGCTGAGGCCAGGGGCTGGTTGCCCGGGGGGGGGGTTGCTGGCCGGAGGCTGGAGCTGGGCAGAGCGGCTTGCACGGCGCGCTGGAACCAGTTCCGTCACGGGTGGTCACCTATAGCTGTCGCTGTGGGACCAGCGAATAAATCCCGAAGCCCAGATCCACTCTGGCCACAGCCCGGGTGGTGACTGGGACCGGGAGAGCTGTGCGGGGCCACCCGTGGGGCCACCCTGTCCAGCAGCACCCATCCCCAGCACCCCAGGGTGGCCCAGGCCACCCCAGGGCTCTTGGGCAAGGCCGTCGCTTGGTGTGGAGGCCAGGACGTAGCGTCGTGAGTCTGTGGGCATCCGTGCGCGTGGGCACACGTGTGCATGGGTGTCTGCATGCGTGGGTGCCTCTGTGCACGGAGCACCCACGCGTGTGGGCACTTCTGTGCGTCCACGTGCGGGGGTGTTGTACCCGTGGGCGTCAGCGTGGGTGGGCGGCCACGCTCACGGCTGATCCTGCGGGTGTTTGTGTGCTGCTGTGGGTGGGCAGCTGTGTGCACATGTGTGTTCGTGTGCGTGTGTGTATGGGCGTCACGTGCATGGGCACCCGTGGGTGTGTTGAGTCTCTGTCGGTGCGGGTGGCTGCGTGCGTGGGTGCTCGGGTGGGTGGGTGTCTGTGCGCGTGGGTCCCCATGTGCAGAGGGAGCCACATGCACGCACGTACATGTGTGGGGGTGTCTGCGTGCATGGGTGCTCACGTGCATGGGCACCCATGTGCGTGGTGGGTCTCTGTGAGCACGGGTGCCCACATGCATGGGAGCTGCTGTGGGTGGGTGTCCACGTGCACGGGCAGGCGTGTGGGTGCGTGCTCAGGTGCCTGGGTGCTCGTGTGCATTGGCACCCATGCGCGTGGCGAGCTCCTGTCAGCATGGGTGTCCATGTACGTGGGTGACTGGGTACACGGGTGCTCACCCACGTGAGTGGGTGCCCGTGTGTGGCTGTCCATGTGCACGGGCAGCCGTGTGCGTGGCGGGTCTCTGTGGACATGGGTGTCCACATGCACGGGAGCTCCTCTGAGTGGGGTGGGTCTCTGCGTGCATGGGTGACCACGTGCTCGGGTGCTCCTGTGGGTGGGTGTCCGTGTGTGGGGGTCCCTGAGTGTGGGTGCTCTGTGGGTGGGTGTCCGTGTGTGTGGGTCCCTGAGTGTGGGTGCTCCTGTGGGTGGGTGTCCCTGTGTGGGGGTCCCTGAGTGTGGGTGCTCCTGTGGGTGGGTGTCCGTGTGTGTGTAGGTCCATGACTGTGGGTGCTCCTGTGAGTGGGTGTCCGTGTGTGGGGGTCCCTGAGTGTGGGTGCTCCTGTGGGTGGGTGTCCCTGTGTGGGGGTCCCTGAGTGTGGGTGCTCCTGTGGGTGGGTGTCCGTGTGTGTGTAGGTCCATGACTGTGGGTGCTCCTGTGAGTGGGTGTCCGTGTGTGGGGGTCCCTGAGTGTGGGTGCTCCTGTGGGTGGGTGTCCCTGTGCGTGGGCAGCTCTACATGTGACTGTCCCTATCTCGTGGTGCCGTTGTCCCCGGGGAAGGCTGGGAGCGCGTGTGGGGACCAGGGCTGTGCCGGTTCGGGACCCTGACCCCCAGGAGGGTGAGGGGACAGGGGACAGCCCCTGTTCTCTTTGTCCCCTCCCAGGCCATGGGATGGGTGTGAGTGGGGGCTCTGGCTCCCTGGAAACTTGCCTGGGGAATAAATCATGCGTGTTTCCCTGTGGAGCCACATCCTGTGGGGTGTCCCAGCCGGGGTGGGGGGACACCCATCCTGTGGGGTCTGGTGCCTGTCCCCCCCCCCGGGGCCTGAGGCAAGGGGGTCCCGCTCGGAGGCAGTGCTGGCGGGAGGAGGCTGAGCACGAGCTCCCGGCTATTTTTGGGTGTCTGTGATGACACCTTGGGGCCAGGGAGAGGGAGAAACTGTCCCCGGGTCCCTCCTGGACCTGGTCACTTTGACCCCAATATCCTCAAGATGGGGGGACACGCTGCAGCCGTGTGGCTCAGGGACACCCAATCCCCCCAGCTGGGACCCTCCGCTGCCCAGGGACGGGGGCAGGAGGCGGCGTGTCCCCACGGAGCTGGGGGGCAGGGGACACCGAATCCCACAGCCACGAGTGACCCCCTGCACTCTGGGAAGAGACTGGGAGACGCACTGGTCCCAGCCCTGGAGCCACTGGACCCCAAATCAAAGGGAGATGTTGGGGGGGAGACGTGCTGTGAGTCCCATGGCCCCACGGCTGTCCTTGTCCCCAGTGTCCCCCTGACACACGGGAGCATCGCTGGGGGCACATGTGTGTGTCCCCACACACACGGAGCAGGGACAGGGCCACACGTGTCCCCCCCACACACATGGAGCAGGGGTGGGGTCCCCACGCTCCCCTGGATGTCTGACCCCCACACACCCTGGTCCCTGCGGCTCCCCGTGCCTCAGTTTCCCCTGCTCAGCCTCCCTGTCCCCAGGACACGTTACTCTGAAGGACACTGCCATTGCTGGTGTCCCCATGTCCCAGGCGTGTCCCCACCACCCACAGACCAGGGGCAGCACCTGCCCCCCACCCCCCCCCCCCCACCCCGGGGGGCTGCCATGGGGCGGGCACACACCGCCCGTGCCCACCTCTGCCTCAGTTTCCCCCATCCCCCACGCCCTTTGGCCACCCCACCCCGCCGGCGCAGAGACCGTACACAACTCGTGACACGACTGACCCACTCCGCTCTCCCCAGCTTTGACCCTACCCAGCCTGGCCCTCCGTGACCAGGGGACCCAGGCAGAGGCTTGGTGGCCGGTGGCCGGGCCGGGGTGGCCGCTGGCAGCGCTGCCGAGGAGTATTTCTGGAGCGCGGTTGTGCTCTTTCCAATCATGTGATGAGGACATTATTTAAGGCGGCTGCGAGGCCGGGAGGCAGCTGCGAGCTGGGCGGTGCGGTGCCACGCTCACAGCCGGCCGGAGCGTCCCCCCACCCACCCACCCGCATCCACCCAAAACACCCGCGTGTGGCTGTGCGCCCCCCCCCCCCCCGCACCCCGCCCTGCACCCCCCCGTCACCATGGTCGACGCCTTCGTGGGCACCTGGAAGCTGGTGGATACGGCCAATTTCGATGAGTACATGAAGGCGCTGGGTGAGTGTGGAGGGGCGGGGGGCTGCGGGGGGGGGAGGGGCTGCACTCACAACATCCCCCCCTTTGTTTTCTTTTTTTTTTTTTTTTTTTTCTCCAGCCCCCCCCCCCCCCCCCCCCCCCCCTTGTTTGCCTGGCCGAGCCCCCTGCACACGCGGCTCTGGCTGGGGGGGAGCTGCAGGCGTGGGGGGTCGCTGCTGCTGATTTGGGGAGGGGGGGGGGGGCGCTCTGGGGCTTTGTGTGTGTGGGCTGGGTAAGGGGGTCTTGTCTTTCCCCTGCCCCCCGCCCCCCCCCCCTCCCCGGGGCAGCCTTTGGCGGAGGGAGGGGGATATCCCTGCAGGGAACCGCCCGGGACCCCTCCAGCCTCCCCCCCCCGCCCCTCTCCCCGAGTCCCCCAGCCCCAGCTCCGGGGCAGGGTGGGCCCGGGGAGGGGTGACACCCATGCCCCCCCCACTCTGCCCAGCCCCCGGAGTTGGTGGGTGCTGGTGCAGGATCCACCCCCACGCAATGGCAGCATTCGCAGGTCCCCCCCCTCTGATCCTGCCCAGAGCCCCCCCCCAGGCACGGTGGGCACACACGGGGCTTCCCCAGACCGTGGGTGGGGAGCAGTTTTGGGGTTCACCCTCCACCATCATGGAGAGGAAGAGCGCTGGGGTGATGCTGGCAGGAATTGGGGGCTCATGGCCACATCGTGCCCTCGCACGTGCCCTCAGCCCCCCCCCAACCTCGCACCCCGCAGGCGTGGGCTTCGCCACGCGGCAGATGGCCGGCCTCACCAAACCCACCACCATCATCGAGGTGGAGGGCGACAAGGTCACCGTGAAGACCCAAAGCACCTTCAAGAGCACGGAGATCAGCTTCAAGCTGGGCGAGGAGTTTGACGAGACCACAGCAGACGACAGGCACGTCAAGGTGAGCCCCCCAGCGCCTGCCCCCCCAGCATCGGACCCCCCCAAAAGGGTCTGTGGGCTCGGCTGGAGCTGGCCATCAGCTCTTAGCTCTGGGGCTCCATCCTTTTTTGCCTAGAGGCGGGTAAAACCTCTATGCCTCCTGGGGTTGGTGCTCACGCCTGGTCTCATCCAGGCGAACCCCCCTCCCCCTCCCCTCGCCCCATTTTGCAGTGGGGTTTTCCCCGGGGAGCAGCACGGGACCCAGAGCTGACGGGAAGGTTGTGCAAGAGCCAGTCTTGCACACGCCAACTGCCCGCCCGGGGTCTTGCTCAAGAGGATGTTGAGGGGACGTGGTGGGGTGGCGGCAAGTGTTGTCCCTGCTCTGGGGGGGAGAGGGCCACAAGATCTCTTTGGTGAGCCCCCTCTTTGCTTGCCCTACAAAGCAGGCAGGGATGGACCGGCTGGGCAATCCTGCCTGGCTGATGCCTCCCTGGGGGGGCCAACACCTCCCTGGTCAGGCTGTTCCTCCCCATAAGAGCAAGGAAAAATAACACCTCAAAGGGTCAGAGCTGCTTTCATGGCCTCTCCCACCCTGCAGAGACATCTTCCCTCACAGGACTAACCCAGCCCTTGCTTTTTCCCAGTTTCCCAGCTGCTGGTACCACGCACCATTAAATTCACTGTGCACAGAGCAGCTGGCAGCCCTGTGCCCCTCGCCCAGCCCGGGGGCGCCTCTGGGGGGACTTTGGGGCTTGTTGGACACAAAACCCCTTCCCAGCCCCAAAGCAGCAAGAAAAACAGCTGGGGGCAAAGCGAGGATGGGCTGAGATGGGCTGAGCGCGAGCAAGGCGGTAGCGCCGGGCAGATACAGGGCTGGGAAACTGTCCCAGGCAGTGGAGACGGGTGACCTGCTGTGAGCCCAGGGCCGTGCCCTTTGGGTGCCCCTCGGCCAGTGGCCAGAGGGCACATGACAGGGCAGCAGGGGCCAGGGGTGGTTGCCCGAGCCGTGGGGCTGCGTGGGATGGGGCAGAGGGGGGTCTGGCATGCTGAGTTGTGGGGCACAGAAGCTGTGGGGGGGACCCAAGCTATTGGGGCACCGGAGCAGTGGTGGACAACCAGCTTGGGGGGGGGGTGGGGGGATGACCCCCTGAGCCACGGGGGGGGCCTTGTGGGGACCTTGCACTATGGGAGACCCAAGGGGCTGGGCGGGGGGGCACAGGGCAGGATGGAGTGGGGCAGCCTGTGCCTGTCCCGGCAATGCCCCATGCCAGCTCTCACACTAACCTTGGCACCGGTCAGGCTTTCGGAGCTGAGTCAACAGCAGCCACTGTGCAAACAGCAGCCCCGGCGAGCAGAGGCGTGTTTGCCAGCTCAGCCCCTCCGAAAATCCTTGCCGGGCCCTCCGGCACAGGGGGAGGCTTCGGTTCAAAGCACCGATGCCCGCTCTGATACCTGCCCCGCCTCTTCGATCCCCTCTGACACCCCGAGCCGTGCTTGGGAGCGGCTGGGATCAGGTCCTGGCAGCCCCGGAGCAGGACGTGGCCCCGGGTCAGGGAGGGCAGGGTCACCGTGACAGTGCCCGCAGCGGGGGTGCTGGGGGCTGTGAGCCAGCCGGCGGCCAGAGCGGGATCAGGCCTGTGCTGAACCCGGCTGACAAAGCCAGGCGGGATGCTGCCGGGTGGGCATCCCCATGGTGGCACTCGCGGCCTGACCCTGAGCCCCGCGGGGCTCTGGGGCCAGCACCAGGACACCCAGCGTTGTCCCCTCCAAAGCGCAAAGCCCCCCCCCAAAGCCAATAACCTTGGGGAGGAGGGTAACGGTGGGTCTTGCACTCTCCCCGCAGTCTGTGGTCAAGCTGGATGGAGGCAAACTCATCCACGTGCAGAAGTGGGATGGGAAGGAGACATCGCTTGTCCGGGAGCTGAAGGATGGGAAATTAATTCTGGTAAGGAAATGGAAATGGTTTTAAATTGGGAAGGGGCGGGGGGTTCAGCCCGGGAGAGGGCAAGGCAGGAGCTGCACCAGCTCAGCACAGCTAACCTCCCCACCGCCACTTCTGCCACCAGACTCTCACCATGGGCAACGTCGTCTCCACCCGCACCTACGAGAAGGCGACGTAGACGCCGTCCCCAGCTCCCCCCGCCCGTCACCCCGTGCCGCACTCGCCCCCCCGCCCCTGTGCCGCCTCCGCACAGAGCCCACGGCACCCCCGGGGCTGCCCACCCCCCCCCTGCCCCCCACCGCCTTGCGGGGCTGCTGGGGGCCTGGGTGATGGTTTCACGGTTTGGTTTGGATTTTTTTTTTTTTTTTTTTTATTAATAATGGGAAAACCCAGATGCCAAAATAATAAAGGCCATGTTGTTACAGGTCTGTGATCGGTTTACTTGGAAAAGCGCTTTTTTCGGCACCCATAGTGCCAAGGCACAGCGGTTTCAGGCTGTGGGGAAGATGCGCAGGGCTTAAAGCCAGCCCAGACACCCTGGCAGCGATGGGGTTAAACAAGCAGCTACCGTGGTCATTATGGTTAGAAATGGGCTTTTTCCAGGGGCAGTGTTAGCTACTCCCTGTGCAGCTCTGCTGCCAATGGTCCAGCAGCCCCACGCCCCAGCGCAGGCAGGCACGCTCTGCCAAAGCATCAGCTGATGGTGCACGGCCGAGCCAGAGCCAAGGTCATGAGCACCGCGGGTCTGGGTTGGGGAAGGCCCAAAAGGGGAGACACAGCCCTGGGGAACCGGGGCAAGAAGCACTGGAACGGGCAAAGCGGAGGGAGGAGGGGGCAGGTGGCCTCCCGCGGGCAAGCGCCAGCCCCACGCTCGCTGCCCCCGAGCCAGAGGCACCAGCGGTGACTCAGCTGCGGTCACCGCAGCCCAGAGCCAGGCGGGAGGGCCCTGCCCTCCACCACCCCTTCCCCCCTGACCTTCAGCTCCAGTTACAAGATTTATGCTCCAGTTGCTCCTTGCCAGAAGGCACCAGGTTTCTCGTAGGGGTCACCTCATCACACACCCCCTTCCCACCCCAGGGAGCTGCTGAAAGCAGCCAGGACTTAAAAAAAAATAAAAGTCATGAAACAAACAAACACACAAAAAAACAAGGAACAAACAAACCTTTAATGCAGGTCTCATCCCCTCCCACAGCTAGCTCTATTTTTTCACTGTCCAAGATGAAGTGTGGAACTTACAAAAGAAAAGACCCAGTACAAAGTACAGTGGGAGATTGGAGAGGTTTATTTTCTATCACTTACCAAGGCAGCAAACACACCACAGTTAATGTTTACTTGAAATATCTCCACTCCCCACTTTGCTCCTTACTCTTCCATTCCCACTGTTTGCACACAAAATGAGAGGCTGGGGGAAGGTTTGCAGACCAAAGCCGAGCAGCTCCATGCTGGTACCAGCTGGGAGGACGCAGCCCCAGCAACAGCCACCCCTGTCCCCGAGCGCGGGGCCGGGCAGGGCGAGCACAGGGCAGCTGGCCGGGGGAGTCACCGAGCCCTGGCAGCTCACCCGGAGAAACATGAGGCTACGGGATGGGAGAGGTGCCGAGCAAGGGGTGTAATTAGCCTAATTTGGCAGGAGTGCCTAATGGTGGGAGAAAACGGCAGCTCACGCCTAAGGTAACAGAGGACACTTGCATCAAAGTCAATACTCAACACCGCCCACCGAGCGTTGCTTTCAGGAGGAAACTCCTTGTCCCCGGAGCAAGGGGTGCGCAGGTTCGGCTCTGCTCACTCCTCCTGAGGTTGCGCCAGGGACTGGAGATGCCGGTACCCCCGCCCGCCTGCCCGCTCAGTCCCGGGGCTTCTTCTTATGCTTCTTTTTCTTCTTCTTCTTCTGAGCCTTGCTGGGCTTCCCCGAATGCTTGGTCCTCTTGCTGGCTGGCTGAGCCCCATCACTGTCCGAGTCTGAGCTGTCCGAGTCCGACTCGGAGGACTGCTTATTCTTGTGCTTCTTTTTCTTCTTCTTCTCCTAGAGAATGAAGGCAAAACAAATAAAAAGCCTTGCATGTGGGGAAAACTGTCACTTGTGCTCATCAGGGCAGCAGGCACTTTCTGCAGCAAGTGCCCTACAGGCTGTGACAGGGGTGAGCCTGTTTTGACACAGAAAGTGCACACCCCTTCTGCCCCAGCAAGTCAGGATTTAACCATCGCTGCCGGTCCGCAGCTCCACTGGGCAGGGAAGGGCTGCTGCCTGAGCAGAGCAGGGATCAAAACGTAAATCCAATGTAAATGAAAACTATTAGGTCAAATCACGAGAGTCCTTGCCGTCGCTCCACAGTCAGAGCTTACTCCATTATTTAAGGCTATTCTTCACTGAGGTTGACAGGAGGAAGCTTTTTTGCCAACGAAATGGGTTTCTAAAACAGGCAGCTGGACGTGAGCGCCATCCCCACACCATCATCAGCCCACAGACTGCCAGGAAGTGAGCGCTGATGCGCTGGAGAGCTCAGGCCAACGTGCCCTTCCCCTTGCAGGAAAGCCCAAGCCCAGCAATGCCAGGCAGTTTCTCGCAGCCCTCCCTGGAGGGGAGCTGGGAGGAGGAAAGCGCCCTTTTGCAAACAGGAACTCTTGTGCAGAGTCTCCAAGCAGACTACACGCCCTCCTGCTCCCACAGCTTCCCATCTGCTCCCCCCCTCGCACAGTTTCAGGGCAGCAGTGAGTCCTGGGGGGCTGTGTTTCTGCAAAGTCCTGAAGCAAAAGCTACACAGAGCTCAAAACCTGACAGTCAGACGCAGAGTAAGAACAGTTGGTGCTGGAATAAAGCTCATAAAGGAACTTTGAAATGGATCTAAGCCCTCAATTTTGAGGCATCTGACTAACTACCAAGTGGAGATCAGTACCGTGGTACATCTTCCACTGAAATTGCAGGAGGCAGAGCATCCCAAACCAGATAAACACTATGCAATGATGCAGTATAGCAATTTCTATATATTTAATTAGAAAACAGTACTGGGGAGGGGACCTGATCTGCCTGTGCTGGCAGCGCACACAGCCCAGCCGCTAGCCCCACTCTGCCCGTTGCTCCATCCCCTTCCAGGCGAGGAGGAAGAGGAGGAGAAATGCTGACTGCAGCTCTCTGGGAGCCGGCCGTGCCCCCCGAGGGCCAGGGCAGCCTGAGGGCTTGGTGAGCTGGAGGCAGCACGGGCAGCCAGCGCCAGCCCCGGCCGTCCCGGTGCCAGGAGCACAAGTGGCTCCGAAGGCATCAGCTGGCCTGGGCAGCTTTTGTGCATAAACACACCCCCACATCTGATCCCAGCACGACTCCCCTTTCTCATTCTCTGAACACCCACACGACCATCGTCTAGACCAACTTGTGGAACAAGATGGAAGGTATTTTTTTCAGATGTATTTGAGGAAGATGCTTTGAAAAAGAAATGATTGTCCTGCAAAAATGAGGTATTTTCTCCAACACCCGTTGGTTCTGGGAAGTAAAGGAAAGCAGCATAGAGGTGAGAAGGCCCATTAAAAAAAAGAAGTAATTTTAGTATTTTGTACGTGCTTAATATAAAGCATTTTAAAATTGCCAAGATCAGTAAGGATTCCAGCTTTCCATCCAAGCCCATCAACACTGGCCTCCACAGAGGATCCAGTGATCTCATCCACAGTCACATCAACATCAAAGAGAGACCTTCCTGTGCAAGTGGCTATTGTGAATTTTCATGCTGTTCAAGGACATAAAGATATAAGGAAAGAAGCAAAAGAGGGTTTCATGAAGCAGAGAAGGGCCAGCAAGGCAACCCAAGCCTGTGTGATTGCCTGCGATAGGCTTAGACACCAGTGAGGAATGCAACCCAGCGAGCAAAGCTTGCTGCTTTGACTAAGCCATGTACCAGCATTTTTGCTTAAAGCAAGCTGCACCTTTCCGGGTGATCCAGGTGTGCTCACTGCTCTGGAACTGGTGCACCCAGACCAGCCACAATCTTCCCCAAATTTGCTACGAACTCTCTCTTCCATAGTTCAACTACACAGCCAGGTGCCAGTGATACACCTACTATTGCTGGCTGCACTAGATGAGGTTTTATCCCCCAGCCACAGTCCAGCCCCTTTGCCCCTGCGCGTACTTTATCTTTACTGGATGCATCTCCTGCAGCCTGGTGTCATCCTGGGTTTGTAAAAGCTTGCCCCACGGCTGAGATGGCAGAGCAGCATTGCAGCTGGGGTCAAAGTGAGCTCTCGAAGCAGGAGCCATGGCCATGGCACTGCCTCCCGTGCTGACCACCGCCTCCGGAGGGCTGAGCTCCCCCTTAGTGGCAGCGAGTCTGCTGAGCTTGCACCAATGGGTGGGAGAAACCCAGGGCATTCACTTCAAGGCATCGCTACACCAGGAAAGGGAGTTTTGGTAGGCCAGACAAACGGCCACGTTTGCTCCCACCTCCACCTCTCTAACTGAGAGAGGTTGAATGACGGCTTGTTCAGAGCATGGCTGTGCACAGGCTTTGGGGAACAGCACAATGGGAGACTGACAGCAGTCAAGTGACATTCCCAAACATAACACACAAACGTGTTTTACATTCCACTACAGAAGGGAGTGTAACGGGAGAAGTCTGGAGCCCCCAAAGACAGTATCTCTGCTTATTTTCTTTGCCAAGTGTCCCCAGTGACCTCAAGGCCACCCTTGGGCTTGCAGAGTGTTTTACTGGGAGAGTTTTGCTGTAAGTCACCCCTGCCTTGGCAGAGCTGTTTGCGCCACCCACTCATTTAATGGGAAGGAGAATGAAGCAGAAAGCCCAAGGGCACGGTTATGCCAGTCACAGGACTAGGGGCAGGACAAGCGCTCGGGGAGGCTGCCCTCCTTGGCCAGCTGCTGCAGACATCCACAGCCACCCTAGAAGCTAAGCCAAGGGAGAGAAAACAAACATATGATTAGATAAAGGGAAGAACAGCAATCAGCCACGGATACGCGAGATACCCGTCCAAAATCAGAATGATTGGTGTGGGCAAGTATTTCCACCTGCTCCAACACGACCAGGCACAGCACTGGCTGGTCATGGGGGCTCAAAGTCTGAACCCAGCACTGACACTGGTTTTGTGGGTCCGGTGTGAGATATTCTCTCCTCTGGCAGGCACCCACAGGTGCTGTGACACACTCACCCCACTCAGGGGAAAAGAACCACCCTGGCTGAAAATTAATTGGAAAGCATTCACCTAAAGAAAACCTGCCTCACAGAAGGAAGCCTGAGACATGGCAGCATGTGCATATTCATCCAGAGGACTCCATGCGAAGAAGCCAGCACTCATCTGTTTGAAACAAAAGCCAGAAGCAGGTGCTAAGCACAGCATGAAAAATGGGGCAAAGAGGGGGAAAAAACAAATCCCCTGCATTAACTGAGCTTTAAATCCCAACCCTGAACCATCTGCTGTAGACTTGGAGATGTAGCTCACCAAGGCAGGTGAGCACATTAAAGCCAAGCCCATGCTGTATTTAGGCATGCATTAACAGCGAGGGCACAGAGTTGCCGGCAGCCCTCCAGTGGCACCTACAACCTTCCCCTGAAGGGCAAATTGTCTTAAAATTGTTTGGGGAAAAAAGAAGTGTCTCAATGCAGAGAGCACAGAGAAGGCTGGGTTCCCCCTTCCTCCCCACAAGACATTTCTTCCATTAGCTTCAGCCACTTCCAGGTAAGTGCAGTTTCCGTATGAGGATTAATATACTGGCTTACGGGAAGGCAAGCTGAGACTGTCCACTCTTCATTTAAAAACAACATATTCTCCTGTGAGAGTGGGGACAAACAAGACCCAGCTCGAGACATCAATTTAGCATGGATTGTGTGTCATAGCACCAGATACAGGCTAACAATCAGGGACAATAAAGGAAGGGAGCTAGCAGCTTATTTGATGTGAAACAGGACAACTCCTTCAGGAAGGTGGTAGAGGAAAGACAACACATGGCTTGGAGCTGAACATCAAGCAAAGAGTCCTCGGTTCACTCCACACCTAACAGACCCTCGGCAGGTATCAGGGTATCAGTTTTTTGTTGCTCCACAACAGCACTGTGATCATCAATGTCATCCAAAATTTCAGTGTCTACATTTTTCTGTGGGACAACACCAGACTCACTACAAAGCCCCCTGCCCACAGATGTAGGGCAGAAGCAAATACTAGCAGTCTTCAGAAGAGGAGGATGGTAAAGAGTTAAATCTTCTAGAGAAAGGGATGAAGCAAAGAGAATTTTCTCAAGCTTTTCCAGCCTGTGCACATGGTGAGAAAGTTTGACGAGACCTTAACAACTAACAGAGTTTCATTCCAGAGCTTGGGAAACTTTCTCAGTATGTGAAGGCAGGACAGGATGTCACACATGTTCTTACAGGATTACAGAGGAAATAAAAGAACACACATGGACATTGTGCTGGCTGAGGAAAAAAAAAAAAAAACAAACCTTGAGTCTTCCCTTTTTTGTGGCTTCTGACTGCCAAACTTCTCACACCAACATAGAAAAAGTACTTTCAGTGCAGTAATTCAAGCACCACACACTAGAGTGCAAAACTGCAGGGAGCAAGCCAGCAACAGAACAGCTTATCATTTTCTGTAGCAGGAGGCAGTGCTGCTGCAAAATCATCCTGCTCAAGCAGCATCCTTCTACTAGACCACAGAGTTCTTTAAACTCCAGCATCCTGATACTGGGAGACAAGCACTCCACTGGTTACCAGTAAACTCACCATTGCACAAGTGGGAGAATTTCTCTGGTTTACATATCAGGAGGGTAGTGCCAAGGCAAAAGCCAGACTTCTGCCTCCAGTGACAGCAGCAAAGCCCTGCCACACCCTGAGATCCAACCTGGACTCCAGAACCCATGGCTGCTGATGGACGCTCAGCTCAGCTCCCAGGCACACCCAGGCACTCCCCCAGAAAAGCAAACACTGCATCTGCATAAACATTTTGAGTGGATTTTGCCTAAGCTGACTCTCAAGGTAAAGATGCAGAGAGCGCCAACAAATATGAAGACCTGTACATTACTGTTCCTTGCACATCCTTTCCAGTTTATGCAATGATTACAATTCTACCAAAATGGAACAAACTTGCTCCAAAATCTCTCCTCTATAACACCAGCTCTGGGAGCTGGCAGGCAGAAGAGCGATAGGCTGGGATAGAGCCTGATAATGCTGGTTTTCCTAATGCTCTAATTATTTTTAAAAAGCTGGCACTACTAAGAGGGGACCACATCAGCACAGTAGGCTCCCTCCTGTCCTTTGTAAGCAAAGTTGCTCAGGGCTATGCTTTAAGAATGTTACAACAGTTCATTCCTTCTAAAGATATTTGATTTTGAGATAAGAGGGGAGTGTCCAGAACTCTCCAAGAAGTTTAAATATTTTTTGAAGGACCATTTTATGGAGTTACAGTCTCTCTCACAAACTTTGCCTGTCCTTGTGAAAAATTAGGATGGATTTCCAGATAAACGTCTTTGCATCTCCAGAGCAGCCAGTAATCCTTCTAGGATTTTTTTATTCTTAAAAAGAAAAAAAAAATATTCTTAAAAACTAAAAAAAAAAAAGAAAACAGCAAAATTCCACCACCCGGTTTAATTCCAAACAAGATTCATTACATAAATCTAAAAGTATTATTGCATCCCTTGTTTGAGAACCAGTCAGAACTAATCTGACGAGAAGAATCCAGTCTACAGCCATTAAATAAATACACCAAAGTTCAGCAAAGCACAGCTAAGGACAGTAAGAGAACAGCATAGTGTGTGAAGAGCTGTGCCCTAAGCTAATGCCATTTAAGAACTAGTAAAACAAGTACCAGCTGCAAGTGAGAATGGACCAAGGCTTGATGAACTACAGGTCACTGAACAAACAACAATTAAGAAGGTGTGGTTTTTACATGAAGAGACAACACCTGCAAGCAGATTGCCTGGAAATCTTTTAAACAGTGGGAGAGAAAGCAGTAAAGCCTGCCAAAAAGCCATCACAGGTACCACGTGATTCCAATGATCATCCCAAAACTACCCCAGGGATAAGTTAAACAATGTATGTGAGCAGAAGATGGGACGCTTTTGTTGAATTCAAATTAAAGGGGTTACTCCTGCTGTCGAAACGGCAGATCTTTCATCAGAAGACAAAGAAAGAAGAACCACAATGGTTCATTTCTCCTCAGCACGCCTCCCTCCCACTCAATCCCTGCACAGGCACCCTGCCCCGTTCCCATAAGAGCTCCCTCACCCCTCGACCCAAAGAGGAGAAGTGAGAGGGACCCAGCCACGTGCCCACGCAGCTGCCAGCGGCTCCTTGGATGATCTCCGACTTCTGCACAGCACTGAGACAGCGGCATCACCGCTTCTCCCTCAAGTCACTGATTTTCTCAGGGATCATGGCAGCGCAGGACAGTGCTTTTGTGCAGAGAACTAACAGGGTGATCTGTCACTAGAAAGACTTGTGCCCATGGGCACACCAGAAGCCTGTGCCAGCGCAGAGACCCAAAGCCTACAGCTGCCTCTTAATCCTGTAGATGCTGGGAGGTTCTGGCAGGAGAAAAGCAAGGAACTGAGGGACCACTGGGAAGGCAAGCTGAGAAAAGAGGGAGTGAGGACTCCAGAGTATCTCTGTAAGGAGGGGAATTTCTAGGGAGAAAAAAGAGCAGTGCAAAACTACAAGGAAGCATCAGATCAAGGAAACCGAAAATGTTGATCATGAACAACTGAAAACATTAATACCATTGCTATGACACTAAACGGATGCTCGGTAGATAGCAGTTCTGGGGCTACTCATTTAAAAATATAAGCTCTACATTTATGTTACAAGCATAGGATGGGATGGGGTCAACAAGGCAATTGTTACTAGGTAGATGGAGCTATTTCTACTTTGTGTAAATCCCCCTGGGGCTCTGGGGAAGCAGGGAAGCATATGGTGGCTCCCAGAGGAGATCACAGCAGGCACTCCAGACAACAAGGGAGCTATTCATTTTGAGGATCCCACATCCTGCCTCCAAAAAGCTCAAAAGTTTTATTTTCCAGCACTGGAAAACATCTGAAAACTTTTGATCTCCTCCTTGAGAAAGGAGGAAGATCAAAGGAACAAGCAAGATTTAAAGGAAGGCTGTTAATCCACACAAATTCAGGACAGTGACCCACAACACATCCTGCAGTCTCAGCAGGGCAAGACTCCACCAGGAATCCCCCCCCGGTGGATGGGCATTGATGCAATAATGAGCTATCTGCACACCTCAGTGTAATTTTTCCCGGCAGCTTTTAAATAACAGTTACACATGCCTTTACTATACAAACCACCATCGCTGCTGGAGGGAAGAGAACCCAAGGCAGGAGAAGCGAGCCCCGCTGCAGCATTAGCAATGGCCTGCTCTCACCATCACTCCATGGCATGAGAGAAGCCCAACAGCTGGAGTCCACAAAGGTCAGTCGCTGTTAGCCTGGGATCTGAGAGACAGCTCAGTTCAACCACATGCTTCCCAGCTCAGAACAGAAAGATGACTGTGTGCGTTTTCTATCACAGCATAATGACACTCTGCAGGCAAGTGCAAGCATTCCTGAATAAGAACTGAATTCTTAAATTCTTGAATTCCTTTTTTATAAGAGCCTAGGTAGTGGGAAAGCAAAGCACATCTTGGAATGGAACCAGGCAACAGGTTCTACAGTCAAGAAAGATCCTGGCCCTACTACTGTATCAGCTATCCAGAGCACTACTGAGCAAACAAGAACCTGAAATTTGGCACCAAGTTAATGCTAACTTCGTTTTGTACTGACTGTAGGGAAGAAATGGCTATGCCACAGGGCAGGGACTGACACAAGGAAAGTCACTACACACGTGGCTCTTCTACACTGGTACAGTCACCACCTACAGTCCCACAAACAGCCCCAACTGCTCCTCTCAAGTAAGAGAGCACTGAAGTGCCAGCAACCACAATACCAGTGAAAATCGTGACTAGAAGCGAGAATTCAGCTACCAGTGTCAGTCACTCTGGACTCATCTGAGTGTTGCCACCAAAACAGACTCCTCCATTTCCTGTTGCCAGCATCTGCAGTGCAGTCTCTCCTGCTAGCACCAGTACTGGTTTAACTCCACAGAGAGCCTGGGAGAACTAAACCCTCAGAAGTTAGTTCTCACTATGCAATTACAAACACCATCCTTGTACCTCTCCTGTAAAAAGGAAATTCAACACCTTGCCTGCCTGTTGCCCTGCTCCAGGGATACAGACAAGCCACAGGGCTGGAAAGAGAAAGAAAGAATCAAAAAAAAAAGGAGGTATTGGAAGTGTAATTAGAAGTTGGACACTAGTTGTGAAGGGGCTGATGAAACAGTTTATTTACTGAAGCCTAGAACTGGAATACTTATTGCTGTATAAGCAGACTGACCACCAAATGCTCTTGTTTTAGGAGGACTTCTTATACCAGCATGCTCTGAAGCCAGAGCTCAAACACTGGACGTAAAAGGTCTCTTACATCTTGACATTTTCACATGGACAAAAATTGCTTTAGAGCCTGGAAATGGAGTACACACTCCCTTTGCAAATACAACCAATGATTTCCTCCTGGTATGCGCAGATAAGCCTAGTTCACATTGCACTGGCTGGGTCAGGAGACTCGCTGTAGCAAGGCAGCAGAGCATTTAGTTCAAAGAAAGGTGTTAAGGCAAGAGCAGTGAGAAGGGAGGGGAAACAGGCTTATTCGCAAGAATCACAGAAAACTGAAGCTATTTCTATAGAGCCTCTCAAAGATCAAGAAAAAAAAAAAAAGTCCTTTTCTCACTGTAAGAAATCTCTTTTGAGGACTGTGCATTATAGCACAAAACCATCTTAAAGACAATTTAACAAGAATAAAGGGAGAAAGCATAAGAAACGCTAAAAAGTCTACAGAGGAGATTCCTCTTTTGCAACAGAACCTACTCAAAACTGAGCCACCTTCTCAGCCCAGGACTGGCTACTACCACATTGCTATAGTAAACCACAGATGTAACCATATAGAACAAATGATCTGGCTCACTTTTCCAGGCCAGTAGTAGGGCACCTCATACCTTTTTCCTTTTTTTTGAAGAGCTGTCAGCCATGCTGGTCTTTTTATCTCTTTCATATCCTGCTGCTGCCACCTCCTCTTCTTCCTCTTCTGGAATGAGGCTATATTTGGTACCTCCAGGCTGCACAAAACACTCCTTGGCAAAATGACCTGTAAAATAGTGTTTGAAGGGGCAACCTACTTTTTTTTTTTTTTTTAAACAATTGCATTTCAGACACCTGAAGTGCTGCCAATGATCTTTTTGTTATTAGTCACAATAAAAGAACCTACACTGTACATTTTTTGTTCTAGTATTCCAGCTATTTTATCATGCCCTGATTAAACAAACCAGGGAACAAACACAACCCAGGTCATTCATGAAAGATTAGTCAGGGAAAAACTAAGACACTCTTGTCTGAACAGGGCAATTGGTAGAAACGTGTCTGTGCAAATAGCATGGAAATAGTATGGGAAAGGGAGTAAATTGGTGTGATAGGCACCTGGTAAATGAGACCAAAGCAACAAATATACAGGAAATCAGCTCATTCTGGTTCACCCTTTGTACTCTGGAGACATCAAAGTTGACCTACTAACAGTTCTACTGGAAACAGCAGATAGATCGCAGCTTGCTGCCTGTATGAGTAGACAACAGCATTAAAAAGCAGACTGGAAATACACAGAATCCAGTGTTAAGTTTCGGGGGCTCTTTAAAACAGTATTTTATTTAAAAATAGTTATCTACGCCTATAGAGAACCATATTCATTATTAACCCTCTCCAGCTTAACTATTTACTCTACGGCTAAATAATGCAAGACAAGTAGGGTGCAGCAAAATCTCCACGTACAAAAATCTACTGCATGCCTCAGCAACCTGCAAAAAGGCAGTGAAGAGGCATCACATAAGCCAACTTCCTATTGCTGAGCTAGCCAACACACAAAAATTTCACCAGGTTAAGAAAAAAACAAAATGCTAGTTTTCAGCTCTAAGACACTGCTCCCAGCAAGCGATCAGTAATTTCCACTGATGGTTCATCATAATGAAATGACCTGGTGAAGATGTGTTTATGTCTTAAAATGCAAAACTGGAATGAGACCTCAGCTGTAAGACACATTAGTGAAAATACTGTGAGAAGGGAACCCCCTACTGCACCTGCACACAGTAGGAAGGTTCTTTACAGGAAGCTCAAAGGGATCTGATTTTAAGAAACGGACCTTTATAAAAGAAGTTCAGCTAAGTCTTTCCTTTTCGTAACAAGTGACAGAAAATGTAGTTCTAAAAGAGACATGTGGAAGCAAAATTGAGTCCTTCTACATAAACATGAGACAGATGTCAATACAGTTCTATTTACAGGTCCTGGTCAGAACAAGGCTACATCCAAAGACAGTGCTGCATGAACATACCTTTGCAACCACATTTCTTGCACACAGTGTTCAAGACAGCTTCAAGCGTGATCTTCTGACTCGTGTAGTCTCTGAACGTGCGTTTTTTCCTCTCATCCTGACTGGAAAGAGTAGGATAGTTCGATATTCAATCCACCCTCATCTTTAACCCCAAATACTTATACGGACACAATTTAAACGGAAGTTTTCAAGTGTTGCTCTAAAAGAACCACTTAATCAGCTAATCCAAAGAACACAGCTGACCAACAGCTTATTAGAATAAACCACATTGTTAACGGCGTATTTACATGTCATCATCTACTTTTAAGATTCTCAAATGCAGGGAGTTGCAGTTACATCCCTTATACATCCTTAGACACCTGTGTTACATATGTGAACATACACACACTTACATACTTGCACTGTATGAAAAGCAAAGCAATTTCATTTGACCTGCAAGAGATGTCACAAAAAGAAAAGGTAGACAAGGAAGCACTGAATCATCCGAGCAGTTAAGATTAGATTTCACAGTATGTGAAAGTGACACAAATCCCCAGCTGGAATGAAGAGTCCTTCCACACGGCCACAATGCAGGAACGAAAATCCTGCCGTGGTATGAAGGGCTGGAACTCCCTGCAGCCTCCTCCAGCTCCTGCCTGCCTCCTGGCAGCAGAGCCAAGGCAGTGCCTCAGCCAACCCTCCAGCCAGCCAGCGCATCACTGAGGGGCTCAGGAAGAGCCCCCTTCACCCTCCTGAGAAGGGGGAATGTAGAGAATAAGTATGACAGGAAAGCCAGGAATGCAAGGCAAGGAAAAGAAGGCAATATCAACCTGTCTGATCTATATTCTGCTCAGTAGATTTACCTACTCAAGAGAAACATTGTTTGGATCAAGGTCTTTTCCCGTGCCTTGGTTAACAACCTTCATGGAGAGCGAAAGCTTCAGTTTGTCATCTTTCATCTGAAAGAGGAAGATAGGGAACAAGAACAGTAAATGACAATGATGTTAATTAATACATTGTCTCTGGAGGCCTACAGAGAAGGAAGGAAATCGTTGGTTAGCCAACAGCAGCAACACAAAGGATACTACATGAAGGTCCTTTTGTTCTATTATTTTGTAGCTCTATTTAGAGTATCCTAGCTAATGAAACAGCTTCTGTTAAGCAGCTATCTCTGTAATAAGACAAGCTCAAACTATAGATCTGTTCAGATTAACGTTCTGCTTTCAATATGACCAAGCGCAAGAGCTATCTAAGAAAGTGCACCTCTGGAAGCTTTGCTGTAATTCTCAAATCATCCACCCCCTGGACAGTTCCACCTGGACCAGTACTTTGGCCGACTTGCATCCTGAAAAATAAAACTCTGTCTTTTTACCTATCCCTATCCTCTTATAAGACTAAAAGTGTTTTAAATATCTCTATTAGGGGCTTACTCTTTTATGAATCCTAGTAAGTCCTTGATAACCACATTATCACTTTAGAAGCAAGAGCAAAAGTTGCATGTTGGGAAGGGGGGGGTTATGCCTTTCTTACAGCTTTCTGCATTTTCACCAATGTTGCTATTGAAAGTATTTCTGTTTTGTCTGTTTATGACATCCATGCAGTTATTTGCAGACAATCTAACAATGAACTCCTCAGCTGTCCACCTCTCCAACATGCTTCTGCCCCTTGCCTCTACAGCAAAGAAGCCAGGAGCCCAACAATTGAATTGTGTTCCAGATAAAGAAAACAGTGGCTTAGGAGAAATTTATACAAACAAAACTTTTTTAAAAAACCAAACAAAACAAAAAAAAAAAACAAAACCAAAACCAAACCAAAACAAACAGAAAACAAAGCACACCACAGATGGCCCAAAGAGAATCTGTGAAGTCTTTTATATAGTTTTTCTATACTGTGTAAATAAGACCAAGTTTCTCAACCCATTTCCCTTCTCTCTCACAAAATTAAGTCCCTGTTTCGTACATTAACCTGATTATCTTCTTACGAAAAAAGGCAATGCATTTATGGCCAAATCCTGTGCAACTCTGAACTGAACGCTTCCACCTTGAGCACAACAAAATACAGTCAGCTTGCTTTGTTTGGCTCACCAAAGCAAAAATCTTCATTTTTTTTTCCAAGTAATCTTTAAATACAGATATGTTTATTGTCACATCTTCTGCAGAAGAAAAAGCAATGTAGACTGTAGGGGGGGGCAAAAAAAAAGTATAATGATCTTCAGAACAAAAAGCATCCGTACTTTCTCTTGGGGGTAATTCACTGCTGCTGATACTTGCTTGAAAACAAAAATCTCACCTTCTTCTAAGAATGCACCTGTCTCTCAAAACATTTAATGAACTGTGTTTATATCAGCTTTTATCTTGGGATGGTCTCAAATTGCTCGTGTAGCCACAAAAATCACAGTTAAATTGACACAACCTGCAAAGGGGTGCACAAGGGAAGAAAGGGAAGCATTTTCTTGCTGTTAAGCCAAAAGCTTTTATGAAGCTCTGTTATCTGAATTGCATTGTTGCAAGTCACTAAAGCGGTGTGCCTGAAGCCACATCTGGAGGTAAAGAGAATTCACCCGTCTGTAAAACAGAACCCATCAAACCCCGACAAAGCAACAGAACACAGAGCCTCTGTGTGCACAAGTTCTTAGTGGTTTTGCAGGGTATTTTGTCTACCCAACACTAAAGAAACAAGAATTAACATTACCTCTTTTCCAATAAGCTTCACCCATACTTTGTCTCCAACATCTACTATCTCTGAGGGTTTATCCACACGGCAGGAAGACATGTGAGTCTTATGGACGAGGCCTGGTCATGGTTTTGGAAGAAAAGAAAGGCGAAAAATAAAGACAACTCTCCACTGAATCTCAGTTTTGCCCTCTAAGACAGCAGTCTTCAAAGTGGGATGGATGAGAGACAATCCTTTGGGGGTGTGGGAAGAAAATATTTTTGTACCATTAATGAATAAAATAAAAAACAGTGCTTATTTCATCTTTAGCTCATCCTTTTTAAACTTCTGAGTATGTTTTACAATGTACATAACAGTAGCACATATATGTAACTTAAAAATAAATATACATATATTGGGGGAAGCGTGTTCAAAAAATTTTTAAATAAGGTTAACTGATTTTAACTGTTCGTGCACCGGGGGTGCACAATCAAAAAGGTTTGGAGACCACTGCTCTGAGAGACAAGGATGTATTCAGCAGTTGCCCTAAGCAAAATTAGCCATTTCTTTCCTCCAGTATGTTATTCAGATTGAGAATCAACTAGTTGCATCAATCAAACATGTAAAAGCTCATCAAGATCTGCACCAAATTAACTCAGAGAAGCAGGCCTCCAAAGCAATGTCTTTGTACTCCAAACAGAAGACGCCCGTAAAGAAAACTGCAGCAGGCACTAACACCTCTCCCCTCCTGCCTGTCCTCTGAGGCCACCCTGAGCACCGGAGAACAAAGAGCCCATTTCACGCATCAGCAACACAATACTTTGCTGGCAAAGTCAAAAGCTTGACACACCAAGGCTGCCCCCATCTCCTGCACCTGCAAGGTCACACAGCCCCGAAACTCTATTTTTAATTTGCACAAATGACATGTGGGTTACAGGGTTATAAAAGGGAGGATAAATATGGAAACACACCTTATTGTTCAAGCTCATATTTCAGGGCCTGTTTGCGTCTCAAAGCGACTTCCCTCCAGCAGCCACACTTCTGTCCAAAAAATTTTATTAGAACTTGTACTACAGTGACTGGGCACTTCAAGAGGAGAGTGGAGAAGAGGTTATTTGTGGGCCTACCAGCATCGGGCAGAACACCCACCGTAAGCTGCTTCTTTTGTAAAATTAGTTTGTTTGACTTTGCAGATTTCCCACAAACATAGACAGAGCTTTAAGTCGGCTTTTCTCATTTATTTTTCATTTGCGTTTCATTCCTGTCTTTTTTTATTTAACTCATTTATAAAAGATTTAAGTTGGGCAAACTAATTGTAGGAAGTTTCTTTGGTTTGTTCAATACCTCAAAGTGATTCTCTAATATCCTGGTTACCAAAAAGCACTTTGAGTCTTTCTGGTATTCATGCATGCAAACACACCTTCATGTTCTAAATACTTCTTAAGAGCCTCAATTTCTTTCTAATTTTGAAAAAAAGACCTTTTCTGAGATTTTTTTTAAAAGACAGCAAGCCTTTAATTGAGGACGGCCGCTTGGTTCAAACACACCAACACGAAACTACGTCTGAGCAAAACTAGAGAAACAAACCTTGTTTCCTGCAGCCTGGGATTTTTATAAACGCCCCATATTCTGTCACTGTAGCAACCTGTGAAGAAAATCAACACAACGCCTGAAGGAAAACCCTTCACAGAACACCCATTTTCAAAATGTGTTAGAATACGCACAAAAAGTCTACACGGTTCTCTTGCTTTCCCTCAGCTTTAGATTTGCGGGCAGGTTAGACACTGCAATGCTTGGTAACTCCAGAGGGCGGGTGGTCAGCCAGCAGCCCTTATTTCATTTAGATAAGCAACTTATACGCATATATCCGTATGTATGTACGGAAACACGCAGGCATAGGGCTGTGGTACAGAACTGCCGCTTAGCCAACCCGTCGCTGAGGTAAGCGGCGAGCGACACACCGAAACAAAGCGGCCCCCGAGCACGCCCGCGGCCGGGCCGCGCCGCGCACCTCTCCCTGGAAGATGGCGTAGAGCTCCGGCAGCGCCTCCATCGCCGCCGGCCCGGCGGGGCCCCGCCGACGGCAGCTGGACTCACCCCCAAGATCAGCGCGGTACCTTGGAAAGAAACACTTAATTAGCGCGCAACCGCCGCTATTTCACCGTGACTCGGCGCCGAGCGCCCCAGCGACTCACTGGGGCTCGGGGGAAGGGGGGGGGTGGACGGCACAGCCCCTACCCAGCAGCCACGGGGCCCATCGGGACCCGTCAGACCCCAGCGCGGCGCCGCGCAGCCGCCGCCATTTCGCTGCCGCCCTCACCCCGGCGCGACCCCGCCGCTCCGCCAATCGCCGCGCGCGATGATGGGCGGGTGGCGGCTCCCAGCCAGTCAGCACCGCTCGTGTTAGGCGGCGCCCGCCTCCCCGCCGCCCTCAGCCAATGGCGCGGGGGGGGGGGGGGAAGAGCGACCGGCGCCTCTTCCGCTCGTCACCCGCGCGCGGGAAGGACGTCAGAGGAAGGGGGGCGGGTCGCCCGGCGGCGCTCCGCCAGTCGGCGCGGCGGGCAGCGGCGCGGCTGGCCAATGGTGGGGCGGGGCGGGGCGGGCGCGCGCGGCCGGCGGCGGCGATGATCGAGCAGCACAAGCGGAAGGTCCCGGGCGGCGGCCCCGGCCCCGGCCCCGCTCCCGCCCCCGCCCCGGGCGCCGCTCCCAGCCCCGACCTCCCGCTGCTGCCCGCGGCGGCCAAGCGGCCCCGCCATGAGCTGCCGGGGGCGCCGGGCGGCGGCGGAGGCGGCGGCGGCGGCGGCGGGGGGCAGCCCGCCCCCGGGGCCCTGCTGCAGGCGGTACGGCGGGGAGGGGCGTGAAGGGATCTGAGGGGCGGGATGGACGGGGTGGGGGGGACGGGATGGCGAGGAGGGGGCGGGCCGTGAGGGGATGGGGAGGGGGGGGGGATGGAGCGGGGGGGGGAGAGCCGTGAGGGGACTGGGGGGGGGGGGCATGAGGGGATCACGGGGGGTGGGATGGACAGGTGGTGTGGGGGGGCCATGAGGGGATCAGGGGGGGCTATGGGGGGCAGGATGGAGGGGAGAGGGGGGGCGAGGCCCCTGAGGGGATGGTGGGGTGGGGGGTTCCGCCGCACTCCCCTCACATCCCTCCCCTGTTGCCACCGGCAGGGCCCGCCGCGCTGCTCCTCTTTGCAGGCGCCCATCATGCTGCTCTCGGGGCACGAAGGGGAGGTGTACTGCTGCAAGTTTCACCCCAACGGCAACACCCTCGCCTCCGCTGGCTTCGACAGGCTCATCCGTGAGTACCGGGCGCCGCTGGCCTGGCCAGCGCGGCTGCAGCCCCAGACATTTCAGGCCATTGTGCTGCGATGGGGTTTTAGCTCAGCCCTCGGCTCGCTGGGTCCTGACTGTGAAGAGCTTCACCAGGAAAAGTGCAAGATAGTTTCTCCAGCGCCTCTGGCAGGCTGCTGGTGGGGCTGGTAACGCACCGTGCTGGCACAGCCCTGTGTTCCCAGGTCCCTTGTGCAGGTCACCATCGGTCCACGTTTGACCGCAGCAGTGACAGTCTGCAGAAATACTATTTTGAATGCCTTGGCTCGCTGAAGGGAAGGTTATTATTTTTCTTAATAAATCCAGCTTGTTCTAAAACCATAAATCGTCTCGCACTAGTTGCCTGTCCACCCAGGGCTTGCACGGTGCTTCTTTATGGCTACACATCAGCTGAGACTGGAGATGATAGTGGTGATAGTACATAGTTCGTTTCACTGAGCTCTTGGAGAACCGCTCCATCTGCAGCAGGGAGGTGGTTCCATGTTCCCTGTACTTCCCGCTCCTTTCCTTTCCCCCAGTGCTGTGGAACGTCTACGGGGACTGCGATAACTACGCCACCCTGAAGGGACACAGCGGGGCAGTTATGGAGCTGCACTATAACACAGACGGCAGGTAAGGGGCGTGCGGATGGCCTCAGGCCTGCCTCTTTCTGAGGGAACAAGCTTTCTGCTGGCCAGATTCCCTCAGAGCACCTCACTGTTGTTCCTGCTCAGTCCATGTATGGCAAGTATTTGCAGTGTGGCTTTTCCAGACAAAGAGCGGTGCCTGCTTGAGTTTAAGAAAAAGGATCTGGAGTCGCCCGTGACCCACCAGTGCCCGAGTGTCTCGAGAAACGGGAAAGTTTGTGTTGATCACATGGGAAACACTGGGGAGGGAAAGAAAACAAGTGAGATATTTGAATTTGAAAGGCTGTTCAGCTATTGCACCTGAGCCAGGATTGCCACCGTGCTTTCCTTCCTGTGTTCATCCCAGATAGCGTTTGAGGAGGTGAAAAACCAGTCTATATGTATCTAGAAATGGGTCTTATTGGAGTTCCTCCAGTGTAGCTGCTCCGCTGTCAGTCAGCCCGCTCTGAAATGCCACCTTTGTCTTGGTATAGAGGGGAGATCGTTCACGGCATATTCCCACTGAATATCTCAAGCACTGATTGCAGAACTTGAGAGTAAAAAAGGCAGGAGGGGAGAAATGCTTCCAAAATGGAGAACCTCACGGTGATTCTTCTCTGCAGCATGCTCTTCTCAGCATCCACAGACAAAACCGTGGCTGTGTGGGATAGCGAGACTGGAGAGAGAGTGAAGAGACTGAAGGGCCATACCTCGTTCGTTAACTCCTGTTACCCAGCGAGGCGAGGACCCCAGCTTGTCTGTACAGGCAGTGACGATGGGACAGTGAAGGTCAGTATATTGCATAAGGAGATAGTCTCCTTATGAATTAAAGTAAGATGGGATCTTTGAAAGAATTTTTGGGTCTTCCCATTTAAGTGGGCTAAGTTCAGCCCTTCATTACCCTTATAATAAGTAATAACTTTGATTTCAGAAATAAAAAATTTGAAATAAAATTTGACTTCTCCTTTTTCCTGTAATTCTTTGTGGAGGGATGAAGAAGATGCACCTTCTCAGTTGTACTTTTTCCACTGAACTGCATTAATAAAGCATGAGGAAGGCAAGCTGTTAATGAAATCTCGCACACTAGCCCCTTCTCCCCCCACCACGCTCCTCTGCTCTGACCACACCAGACTCTTGTTACGTTTTTTTATAGAGATCTCCTGAGCTCTAAAAGGGGATTTCAGGAGAGTGTTGTGAGTCTCTGCCAAGTATCTGTGCAACTTCCTGTAATTTTGTCATTAAATATCTCTATGTAACTTCTACAACTGCTGTCTTTTCAGCTGTGGGATATCAGGAAAAAAGCTGCTGTCCAGACATTTCAGAACACGTACCAGGTCTTGGCTGTAACTTTCAATGACACCAGTGATCAGATCATATCTGGAGGCATCGACAATGATATTAAGGTAGGACTCCTGTGTCTTTGTGTGCCTTTCTGACTGCACACGCCTCTTCTATCCGGTCACGTCTTGCATTGGTCAAGGACAAATGTAGAAGCCTGTTGGGTAATTTTACAGTCACAAGAACCACGCAGACCCGCTGTGTCTGACCTCGCTGTTGATATAGGGCCAATAAACTCTGAGGGTGTTGCTCCAGGGCTGTTTGCCATGTGACAGCCTGGGCAGCCCTGGCATTCCTGGCCAGGCGTCCCAGCACTGCTGTCACCCGCTGGAACCGATACAGTATGCTGGCTCTGCTGGCAGCCTCTGCCCGTCCTGGAGGCTCTAGAGCCATATATGAGGTAAACTAAAGAAAATGTGGTGACACATCCACACTCTGCCCTCTGCTCCACTTTGCGACTTACTTTGTCACCTGCTAGTGTGGAAAGTTCTTATTTAAGAGTGAGCTCAGTGTTTCATTCAGCTGGTAACTGAGATTCTCCTGGTAGCCGTACGGTTCAGTCTGTCTTACTGTCCTTTTAGTCGCAGGCTCCAGCCTTACCTAGGCATGGGGAGCATGTGCTTGTCAGAGCCATTGCTAAGTGTAGCACTGCCATGAAATCTGTTCCAACTGCCCTTCTTCGGGAAAGAACAGTGTGAAATTTTGGGGATTGGACAACTGCTGCTCTGTGCCATCAGGCAGTGGAATTTGAGAGCCAGGGGAGCTGTAGCCAGGTAGAGAGAGATGCTTGCATGTGTGGGGTTGCTGACATTTAACTCCTTGGTTGTTGGACACATTTGGTAAGAAGTCTTCTAAGGGGCAAATTCCAGTTTCCCTACAAGACATATAAAATTCTAGCCTTATGTTTTAGTCATTCAGACCCCACCAACAGAAATTGATGTCTCATGTCCTCAGCTGACTGATCGCTACCAGTGGGAAATGCTTTGCAAACAGCAGTTCCAGCAGGCTTGGCTGTCTTTTTCTTAAGCTGCACGGTTGTGTCTCAAAGGTGTGGGACCTTCGCCAGAACAAGCTCACTTACACGATGAGAGGACATGCGGATTCAGTGACAGGCCTCAGCCTGAGTTCAGAAGGCTCCTACCTGCTCTCCAACGCAATGGACAACACAGGTACGTCCTACCTGATGTGAGAGCACGGCAGTCAGGCACTGCTTTCTTACGGTAACTGCATGGCAGGGAGGAACTGCTCAAATTGTTCAACATAGAAGAACAAGAGCCCGACACGGGGATAGGCTGAAGGGAGTTTGGCTCCAGAGATAAAGCTTGAATTCTTGTTAGGCTGGTGACAGTGACATCCTTTGCAGGGAGGGAGCAGCTGCATCAGAAGGGTTTGTCACGTCTCCCGAAGGGCAGTGAGGACACAAGCTATGGCACACATTATTTGCGCAGACACTTGAACACAGTCTTGGTCTGGCTCCTGTCAGGGCGGTTTGGCTGTCTTCCCGCAGCAGGGAATGACAGCACGGTTCCCAAACTGCCTGTCTCCTGTGCAGGGGTGCTCAGTGAAGCTGATCTGATTAGAAGCGTGATCGTGGAGTGTGTCAGAATAAAGCAAATGCTCATGTAAGGAGATGGTGGCTCATTTGTGTAATAGTTGCTTTGGATTTTTCCCCTCCTGTTGGCAGTGGTCTTGGTGTAATTATAAATTTCTGCATTTGACCTTTCATATCAAAGCTCTCTGGAAGGGAAGGCTGCTGGTTTCCTTTTGCTTCTGGGGAAACCTAGGCATGAAGAGAGCAAGGAGCGTGACCAGGTCTCTTCTTGTTAGTGGCTTGTCTTAGGAAAAGGAACGTTTCCAGAAGCTGACCTTGCCCACACGCTTCTGCCTTCAGCTAATTACTGTGAGCTCTCTGTTGCAGTTCGCATCTGGGATGTGCGACCATTTGCCCCTAAAGAGAGATGTGTAAAGATTTTCCAGGGGAACGTACATAATTTTGAAAAGGTGAGTGTACTGCAGACTGAGACATGATTGTCTGTTGCTGCTATTAACTTTTCTGTAAATTGTTTTTTAAATTCAAGTTTAAACTAGAAAGGCTTTAATAAGAACTCAAAGAAAGATAAATGCACAAAGTGGGATTCCAATTAAAGCTGCAGTAACAAGATTTCTTTGCTCAGTTCAGCTATAATTAGCTGTAAATTAAGTATTTTTTACATTTACTATCTACTTTGTGTAAAATAACAAGGCACTGGATGTTTCCAGCAATAAAATAAAATCTGTAATTACCATCTCATCTTCCGAAGGGAGATCATTAAAGCGGTGCTTTTGGTATTTAAAGTCTCGTAGTGATTTTAATTCAAGTAGAAGGGGAAAACTAAGTCTTCGTTTGGAAATAGATCTGTGCACGTTCTTTTATTTTAGAATCTTCTGAGGTGCTCTTGGTCCCCAGATGGGAGTAAAATCGCAGGGGGATCGGCCGACAGGTGAGTTACCACTGCATTCATCTGTTACCATCAGTCCCAAACAGTTTTGCAGGCACTCCTGAAAGGGAGTTGGATCATATCTAAAACGAATCTGAAGACTCAGAGTTGTGCATAGAGGTGTGATGACCCGAACAATCCCCTGTGGTTTTCGTGAGCACTGTCCGCCCTGATTACAATAGTGATGTGTTTATATTGCCCTTGTGTTGGTGGAGGAGCACCAAATAGTTGTAAAATCTTATTATTGTCAAAAAGCTGACTAGGGTTCTGCATTAGTGCTTATGGTCAGCCATGAGATCCACCACAAGGACCAGGAGATGACAGGAGCATATGCTGGTCAGTGGACTAGGTTCCGTGTGTCGTACTGGCAGATGCTTGTGAGAGGCTCTGAGAGGCAGGGAGTCTGGGGAAGTGTGTGTAGTGTGGGGCTTATACTGATAAGAACCACAAATACCGGTTGAATTGCTGTACGGTGGCGTGTGGCAGGCACGAGTGGTGTTCCAAAAGCGTTCCTGTTCCTTGCTTTAATTAACGAGTAAGAAGAAATAAAGATCTGACTAAATTAGCAGATATTGGACTTGTGAGATGCTGTATGAACTAAGGCAACTGATGACTAAAAGGAGTAGAGGGAAGAAACCAGCAAAGGGTCTATGCCAGGCACTGAAGGTCACTGTGAAGGATACCAACCCCCGCTGGAGCAGATCCAGCTGCACTCTCAGTGACATCGAGACAGGAATTCCTGCAGGCCGTAGTCCAGGGCATGGAGCAGTAGTAATCAGCAAATCAATGAGTTTCTGATAGAGGATAGGGAGAACTTCAGCTCTCACTGTCCAGATATAGCGGGACCAGCTGTCACGGCGAGGGGCTGAGACATGACTCCTTTCCAGTCGTGCTGGGCAGTAGCAGCGGTGCTCGCGGAGGAGCCTGCGGGTTAGCCCGCCGAGGCTGTGGCTGATCCGTCCAGGGGCAAAGCACGGCCGGGTGTATTGGGTGTTTAGTTCTGCAGGAGTTCATGTAGCTCTGCGGTCTGGCAGCAACTTTGTTGTGGCACTTGTGGGGAAGAGCACATGGCCAGGTCCTGGGGCAGGTTACACAAGGCCACGCAAATCTTTCCGCTCTTTGAGCTTTTAAATTTTTTCTTGAGAAGGAGTATCTGCTGGGAAAGCAAAGCAAAATTAAACAAATGTTTCATTTGTCTCAGTACAAAAGAGTTCCCCAATGATTAGTCTCTCCTGCATCACATGGAGTCTGTATCCATGATGGAGGGACCTGAATATTTTTTTTGCTGTTGAGCCCTTCGGAAGGGTTATAGTAAAATCAACTACTTCAAGTGCTTGCCTGTTTTGCAATACCAAATTAAAAACATAGATAGATGTTAAATAGATAAATTAACATTTATCTAGATAAAACAGTTGTGCTTGAAGAACTGCTGCTAGTTGCAGGCTTGAATTTTTCCCTTTAATATTTTTCAAGGAAATAAGTCAAAGAGTAGCACCAGCCTGAAAATGAATGCTCCTAACAAAGCACATCTGCTCTGTGTTGGTATCCAGTGTCCTCTCTATCTAGCCAGCAAGTGTTATAAATGATTCAGTGCTTTTTTTTGGGGGGGGCGGGAAAGAAGCTCAGTTCTATTTCAGCTAAAAGACAGGCTAATTGTACAAGCAAATCTTGTGCTTTGTCCGGTCTGCAAAGCCCTGACAAATGGAAAGGAACAGGTGAAGCTGAGGAACCCATTGCTGGTAGCACTGCGTGAGCCTGGAATGGCCCAGCCTTGGATGCAGAGCTCGGGCTGCGTGCGGGGCTGATGAAAGGGCTGGTGATCCCCAGCGTGTCTGAACGCATGCAGGCGAGACACAGGGATGTACAGTGGCATTTGCAGTGACCTTCCTTTGGAGGAATGTAATGCAGTAGACTGATTTCACACGTGTTTTACGGGCTGTCCCCCGTGCTCTCACCCTCCTCAGTCACCTGTAAATAGCCATAGTGATGCCTCTGGGCTGTGTGGGCAGCAGAGTTGCCCTTTATACCAAACCCAGGCAATTACTGCCCTGCCGCTTCCCTTTTCTGCCCTGGCAGATTTCATTTTAGCTGCCAGTCACCTCCCTAAAGAGCAAAATGAGAAGGCAGAGTGAGTGTAATCCAGAACTGGCAGCTTTCCCCAGCCACCCATTTTTTTTCAGAGCTGTAAACCTTGTAACAAATGCCATTTCGCATGGCGAGGCCATTGTGTTTGGAAGGGAGGGATGCAGCCTTCCTGTGCAGGTGAGGTGCAGCATCACCTTACCTGGCTTGTAGGATGTTGCTCAGGGCTCTTCTCATTTTGATGGATTAAAAAAAATCACACTTGCTCCTGTGTGTCGCTCTGCTGCCCGGTGGAGTTTGTGTGCAGCCACCGCACCATGCAGGCAGCAGTCGACACCCATGAGGGCCAAGCAGTGATCTTGCATAAAGTGTGATTTACAGCAAGGCACCGTGTCCCTCATGCTCTGAGTCCATTTATGAGAGTAATCTGAAAGCTGATCTGTGCCTGGTGCCAGCAGTTTCTTTCTGACCTCCTGCCTGAAGGATCCAGGTGCGATGCTCAGGAGGGCCTGGCCAGCGGCGGGAGCCCGTGCTCAGGCCTGCAGGAGGGTAATCAAAGGGCTTGGTGCAATCTGAAAGGCACCCTAATAAATGCTGGGAGATAGGTCATGACTTTCATGGCAGAGCAGGAAGAAATCCGTATAGAAGGCTGTTGGCTGTGAGGGATTACGCTGTAGCAGGCGCTGGGGGAGCACCTGGGCTCCTCCTCGCTGCTTGCCAGCCAGCCCAAACCAAGAGTGACTGCTGGGCTTGCAGGCAGGTGTCTGCAAGTGTGACAACCCTCCTCCCCACTCCCAACACTAATTTTCTCCCTTAGTCCACTGTGTTGCTACTATATTGAGGGTCTCTGTGGCCTCACACTTTCAAATCTGTCTTGGTGCTACGAGGAGTGAAATGGGGCTGCTGTGCTGTGATAGAGATGAGGCTTTTGACACCAAATTGACTTGTTAGCTCCTACCTGCTCAGACCTCTGCTTTTCTGGATTTGGCAGCACAGCAGTTTGCTCCTGAGGAGCTCCTTATTTATCCACACTAAGAGCTGCATCTGTTTCAGCCCGGGTGGTGAACTGCTACAGGAAGAAGCCACTGGTGGCGGGGGGATGAACTGCTTTCCCTTCTCAAATGCCTGCACTCATAATGACTCTGTTCTAGGTTTGTCTATGTGTGGGACACCACATCCAGGAGGATTTTGTACAAGCTGCCAGGCCACGCTGGGTCGGTGAACGAGCTGGCTTTCCATCCGGAGGAACCCATTAGTAAGTCCCCCCCATCTCAAGTCATTTGGGGAAATAGTTTCAGGGCTGGCTGAACTGCTGATCCTCTGGAAAACAGCCCCCAAATTCCCTGTGGCCCAGAGCATCAGACAAGCTGAGGAGTAGCAGACTCCTGCTTGTTCCTCTCCCATAGGTAGGAGTTGGGCTGGCTGTGCCCTGGGATCCTGGGCTGAGCACAGGGGCTCTGCTTCTCTGTTCTGCCTGGGGGAGACCTGAGTGGGGGCACCCACACAGCAGCAGGGTGGTCACTTGTGGGTGGCCACGAGCCGTGGCTTGGCTGCCACCGCCTAGGGCTTGTCCAGCCTTCCCGAGAGCTGTGCAAAAAGGTTTTGGGTACCTGGGTTTGGACACCAGGGATGTAACCATACACTTGGTGATCACATGAGGACAGTGATCACCCGGGAGCACGTCTCCAGCCTGGGCTCCCTTAACTTACCCTAAAGCTGTAGGAAGGAAAAAAGACTCTTTGTGCAGCAGGTTTTGTCCCCATTCTAGAGGTGCCCAGCACGTGGCACCACCGATCAGTGCTGGGTGAGACAATGCTTGTGGTGGCTTTCTCAGAACCATTTTAACCACGGTGTGGTGGCTTTCTCAGAACCATTTTAACCACCATACATTAGCTGAGACCAGATTCCATAGCGGTTTCTTGGCGCGGTGTGCGGCCCAGGCAGGACCCAGGCAGGGTGCTGCTTGTTTCTATGGAAACACTTGCACCATGGGCTAGGTCACCACGCTGCTCCAGCCAAAAACTGAGAGTCAACCCCGAAATGGAGCCAGGAGCTCGGTTGTGCCGAGGATGACAGACTCTGCAGCAGGGCAGTGAGTTATGGGTTTGTTCCTTAGTTATTCATTGCCTTGTCTTCAGATTGGAGACTGTGCTGGAAGAGCAGAGCGATCTCTCCGGTTTGGAGCGGATTGTTTGCAGTTGTATTCTGCTGAGCTCTTCTTTGTGAATCAATCATTCAGCTTAAAATAAAAATTAAAAACCTATCCAGGCATTGCATGCGAGTTATGCAATTGATTTCTATTAACAACTGGGAGCATTAATCTTGTAAATCACTCCACGATACTCATCTGCGCGGGAGGGCGCGCGGGGAGCCCAACTGCCGCAAGATGACAGACACCAATCTGCGAGTTCGTGTAGAAATCCCCCAAATCTCTCCTGAACTCGAATAAACCTGCTGTCAGTGTCAAGAGCAGCGCTTCTGGGTCACTCTTAGTGCCTTGAATCCCCTGAAGAGCCTTTTCTGAGTTAAAGTGGTTCAGTGGCACGTTGTAGTTGGGCGCCGGCTGCATTTTGCCCGTTCTGATAAAATAATGTCCCGGCGAGGCTTTCCTGGCCAGCCTGTGCCCTCTAGCGGCATGCAGCCCTGACAGCAGTGCCTGGCTTGCGATCTGAACACTCCTTGCAATGAAAATAACGCTTCAGGATGCTTGAAAACGTTAACAGCGTGTTTATATGCCTCTCTTTACCATTTTAATACTTAGACATTACAGGCAGTACGCCGTTATGCCTGCCTTGGGACAGGGGAATGGCAGCCACGACGCACAGCGTGTGATTAGGTGTCAGAGTAGTAACTCCATGAAGTGTTTTTGGGAAGCAAATGAAATTTGGCTTTCTAGATCACTTCCAACAAGCGAAACGAGTAGTTTGATTCAGATGAGGTGTCGTTAGTGGAGATCTCAAACTGTTGTGCTGAATTTTCATATTCCTCCCTTCCCCCGCGCTCTCTCCCCCAGTTCTCTCCGCATCCAGCGACAAAAGACTCTATATGGGGGAGATCCAGTGAAGCCGACGAGGAGATGGCGGGATTTGTGCCCTTGTGATCCCTGGGTTACAGAAGTTGGATTGACTTGCTTCTCGCCGGTGCCAGCCCCCCTCACGTTTGTGGCAGTGGGAAAATGTTGAAGCAGCGTGATGGGACAAGCCGCTCTCTCACAGCCTGCAATGGCTGCGTGGTCTCGCTGTACAGCTTTTTTCCACAGCCCCTTCTTTGGGGAGAAAGAAAAATTTGGAATTGAAAGGAATTTGGTTTTGGCTATACCACTGACTAAAAAAACCCTTACCCAGATCACTTGAAATTGGTAAAATTTGTTTAAAGTCCGTATGTGGCTTGTACATTCCCTGTCCAGTTTCTCTTGTTTTTTTATATGGTCAAACTGAAATAGATAGCTTTTTACAAGAACTGTGTGGATGGGATTTATTGTTCTGTTTTACTTTTCTATTGTACAGTACTAAATCAAGGCCCTCGTATATAACCTGGGGAGATCATAGATGTTAACTTCATAGAATCACAGACTGGTTTGGGTTGGAAGGGACCTTAAAGATCATCCAGTGCCCCCCCCTGCCCCGGACAGGGCCCCCTTCCCCCAGCCCAGGGGGCTCCCAGCCCCGTCCAACCTGGCCTGGAACCCTTCCAGGGAGGGGGCAGCCACAGCTGCTCTGGGCACCCTGGGCCAGCGCCTCACCACCTGCACAGGGAAGGATTTCCTCCTTATATCTAATCTAAATCTCCCCTCTTTCAGTTTAAAACCATTACCCCTCATCCTACCCCCACCCCCTGATCCAGAGTCTGTCCCCCCTTTAAGCCCTGGGAGGCCGCTCGAAGGGCTCCCCGGAGCCTTCTCTTCTCCAGGCTGAACCCCCCCAACTCTCTCAGCCCGGCCCCCCAGGGGAGCTGCTCCAGCCCCCCCAGCATCTCCGTGGCCTCCTCTGGCCCCGCTCGAGCAGCTCCGGGTCCTTCTGCTGTTGGGGGCCCCCGAGCTGGCCCCAGCACTGCAGGGGGGTCTCCCCAGAGCGGAGCAGAGGGGGAGAATCCCCTCCCTGGCCCTGCTGCCCCCCCTGCTCTGGCTGCAGCCCAGGGCACGGGTGGGTTCTGGGTTTCCTGCAACGTGTCCCCGCACCACACAGCTCGGTGTCATCGCTGAACCTGCTGAAGGAGCGCTCGATCCGCTGTCCGTGTCACTGACAAAGCGTTAAACAGCCCCAGTGCCACTTGTCCTCAGGCGAGCAGCTTTATTTTTTTATTCATGGCAACAAAAATGACCACACTTGAAACAATCACTGGGCTACTGCTGAATCCTGTTTTCATGTTTTGAGTAAAATCCAGCCTTCTGCTGTAAATAAATGCAAAGGGAGCGAGGTTTCTGCGACGGGCACGGTGCGTTCGGTGCTCAGCAGTGGGGGAACCGGCCAGGCTGGCAGGAGGTTGGTACAAGACGGCGGCAGGTCCTCGAGCAGGCGAGGGCCGTACCCCGTGTACCTGTGGCTCACGGCTGGGGCGACGTGAGGGTGCCTGCACCCTGCCTCAGCTTCAGGGGGGACCTCAGCTTCTGCCAGATCTTGCCCTACAGCCGCAGCAGCCCCCCAGCCGGCTGACTGCTTGCTGCGCCCCGGTCCCGGGGTTTAGGCTGGAAGGGACTGGTCTGCACTGGCCAAGGCTGAAAGCGGTGCCAAGCCCTCGACCCGGGGCTGAGCTTCAGCTGGTGTTTGTGGGCATGTGCGAGGGGAGGTTCCCGCTTCCATGTTGTCTGATGTTAATTAACTTGCCAGGAGAGAGTACATGCTGCATTTATCTTCTGCATGTGTCCAACTCAGCTTTCATCCTTTCTCCTCCTTCCCCCCCATTTTCTCCCCCGCGTTTGCTGCCTTGGCTCAGGTTCTACTGGGCGTTTCTCACCTCTCACCACCTTCCTGCCCCATCCCAGAGGGGCTTCGCGAGGGTGGAAGTTCAGCTGGGACAGTGGAGCGTGGACACACGATGCCCCCTCCCCAGCAGTGCCGTGCCGTAGGACCGCCCTGCGCAGTCTAGGCCAGTGTTTGACCAGGATGAATCTGCTGCAGCCACCGGGTATTTCAGTGCTGGGAAATCAGTCCAGTTTGTGCAGTGAAAAGGGAAGAAGTGCAGGGGCCCCCTGAGACCATTTCTTGTCCCTGCTTTCCCTGCTGTGAGCAGAAGAGAAAAGCTGGAGGATGGCACACCTGGGGCCGAAGCGGAGCCATCAGCTTTTAAGGAGGCAGGGGAATGTGGCTGCGTGTTCCCCGGGAGGTGAGAAGATGTCTCCCAGACGTGGAGTGTGTGGCAGTGTCCCTGGTCCCTGTCACCTGGGGCAGCTCCTGTCCCAGTGCCATGTCCTTGTGACAGCAGAAGGCTGCAGGCTGCCCCATCCCTCGGGGACGTGGGACCTCACTCACTGGGGTGTTTCTCTTGAAGCCCTTGGGGCTGGAGCAGAGCTGGTCTCTGCTCCTGGTTCTTAAATCATCGCAGTCAAAGTGACTTTGGGTGCAGACGGGGGTGGGCTGGAGAGCACGGGTGGGTTTAACTGTCACGAAACCCTCGACCCCAACTGTGCCTCCTGCATTCACCCTCTTCATCCACGGGTTGATGGATTCGAGTCTCAGGTCAGAATGCTGACGCTCAGCAGAGCTCCCAGGTCAAATCCAGGGAAGATCGGAGGAGCGGGTCTGGTCCCTGGCAGCTGCCAACAAACACCCACCTCCCGTCATTCCCCCGACTCCCAGCAGGAATGGCAGGGGAGCCCCTGGGAACAGCTCCGGCAGCCCTGGGACTCTGCGGTTGTCCCTGGGCTGCTGCACCCGACGGCATCTGTCCCCGCGGGGGGAACCGCGTGTGGCCGGAGCCGGGCATCGGGGGGGTGACGCCGCAGACATGGGAAGACCCATCGCCAGATCGTGGTGAATGAATGTACCGGAGGACAAACAAATCACCCTTCAGCTGAAGAGGCGGGCGGAGGGAGCTGGAGGCAGGGGGAAGATTTATTTTTAACTCTGCAGAGTATTAAATAACGTGCCCCGAAACGCGCGGAAATGAGAGCTGGGACTCCAGCGAGGAGTGTCGCGACCCAGGGCTGACCTCCCCAGACCCACCGGAGCAGGAGCCCCGTGCCCGGGGACCGACACTGCACCTCTGTCCCCTCACCGAGGGCTGCCAGGCAGGGAGGGTGCCCGCACATGGATTTAGTGCTTAATTAGACCCTGTTATAATCCTCAAGAGTTTATGGTTTTATTTGAATATATGACCGAGTGTCAGAGGGAAGAGAGACTCTTGGGGCTGAGCCAGCAGTGCCAGGATGATAACCCTGCAGTTTACTCAATCTTGATTGTTTAAAAGAAGAAAAAAGGGTGTTGTTTTTTTTTTTTTTCCTAATTCCCAAGCCAGGAACCTGCAGGGAAGCAAGGAAGGGGCATCTCTCTCCCCCTGCCCCAAGCTCTGGAGGGTTTTGGTTGTGGTGCCCGGGGGTCCCATGCAGGATGCTCAGCACCCGGCACCTCCCAGCATCGGGCAGTGGGGGCTGGATGGTTCCGCACCCCACCCAGGGGTGTCACCCCCTCAGTCCCCAGACACTCCTCCATCACATCGGCACAGACGTCTGTGGAGCTGTGACCCAGACTGGGGAAATGATCCGGATTAATGCTAAATCCCCCGGCCCGGAGGGAGCGGGCGGGCAGACCGAGCCAGGCGCCGGGGCAGGCAGCCGGTTTGCTTTGAGGGCACCTCCCTGCTGCACGCACTGCTGCCACCCGAGCACTAACAAACTCGCTGCAGCAGTGAGCACCCAGCCCAGCTTCCCAGGCAGGTCCTTGTGCCCATCCCAGTGCTGCGAGAGAAATCTCTGTTCCCCAGTGCCAGGGTACTGTAGATCAAAGAAGCGTTCGATACCAACGGAGGGTGAGGAGAGAGACACGGCCAGGGGCAGCTCTGAGTTACCGCTGCCAATTATTGTTTGCAATTAGAGCTGGATCGATGCCCACCCGCCTGCATCCGTGATGGATCGGATCATGTGCCGACGTCCCAGCCCCTGGAGAGAGCTGAAAGTTGATTTAGGAGAAGCACCTACCTGCTCCTAAAGGGACATGTGTTCAGCAGATCGTAACTGTGGCACTGTCAGGACAATTTATGGATTTAATGTAATTTGCTACAGGGTGGTACTTGTTGCCCATCAGGTTGAATGCTCTGCAGAGCCCCACGGGGCGTGAGTGAGCACTGCCAACCCCGTGCTGCCTTCCCCCTGGCTCAGCCTTCCCCTGGGCTCACTGCCAGGCTGTGGGGGCTGCGGGAGAGCTGGGCACACGCTGTGGGGGGCTGGCACCCGCCGTGGGGGGCTGGCACCCCCAGCAGGGCTGGCTGCCATGGGACAGAGCAAATCCCTGCTGTGAAAAGCAAGCGCTGCAAGGCCGCGCCCTGCGTGTACATACATGTAGATACACGCGCGCACACATGGGTGGGTGGGCATGCCCAGGCCCACGCACGCACATTTGTGCACGCAGATGCGCGCACGTGCTCACACGTGCACACGCGAAGGCACTCGCACGCACGCAGCCGCGGGTGCAGACACGCGCGCTCCCAGCCACCTGCACGTGCACAGACATACGTGCATCCACGTGTACCCACGCACACCACCACCCCCTCCCAACACTGCCAGGGCCAGCGCCCCCACCAAGCCTCGAGCAGCAGAGCATCTGGGGGGATTTGGGGCCAGTTTCCCCCCAGTTCCCAGCCGCTGCCGGCTCCACCCGAGCGAGCGCGGCCCCTCTTGGCTCCCGTCCCGTGCCGGAGCCGCGCCAGCTCTGGGGCATCGCAGCGGCAAACCGTTCAAGGCATAATCCGAGCGCAGAGAAAATTGTTTTCTTAAACAGGTTTATTCCTCCAAGGGAGGTATTTGCTTGAGAGATTTCCACTATAAATTAAATCTTTCCTGGGATCCAGATAAACAGCCCCTGTGCAATAAAGCTGCTCCGGTGGGGAGCTGCCAGCTGCTTCCCCGCCTTTCGCTGGGGACTAAGGGCGCCAGCAGTGACCCCCTGACATGGCCCTGTGTGGCTGTCCCCATCCTCATCCCCGTCCTGGTCCTTGACTCTTTGGCAACACCAGCATCAGCAGGTGAGCCCAGCCGGCGGTGGATGTGGTACCCAGAGCACCCTGGCACTGTGCGGCGGGTCGGATCCTGCGCTGGGTGCTGGTGATCCCCACACTGGGCACAACGGAGGCATCACCGGGAGGTCCCAGCTCAGCCAAGGGCAGCCCTGGCCCTGCCATCCCTCTAATTACCTCCCTGTCCTTCCTCCAGCGCTTTTCCCACCTTTCCTCACTGCTGCTCTGAGGCTTCTAATGAATTTTGATAGTTACAATAAGCAAGTGATAATTTCTAAAAGAATGGAAAACAATTATTTGCTCTGTTGGGGGATTAGATGATATTTAGTCTCTATTTAATGGAAAACTAATTAAATTACATGAGCAAGTGAATAGAAATTTTTTGTTAATTATGAATTTTGCGAGCTACAAAGGCTAAATGATGATGGATTCTGTAATTTGCCGCACTTTTCACTAGACGCCGAGATAAGATGACAGCTGAGAAAGAATGGCGTGAATGCATTTTAATTTCTATATCGATTCAATAACAGTCGGCTGAACAGCGATCCATTAACGGTGATCCACAGGAGCTGACGTTGACTGGCAGGCTTGATGGCTAATTATGTTAAAATCAGGGAAAGGTTGGTTAAATAGATGCGTGTTTATTGCTGGAGGTGGTTGGGGAAGTCGCTTTGGTTCGGTTTGCTCTGTCGTGGCATTTCCCCTGGGCCCTGCGGGGCTGGGTGGGTGGAGGGTGCCCTGCGTGGGGTGACACGAGGTGTCCCGTGGGGTTTGGAGTCGCTGGGGATGTTCCCGGGCGAAGTGAGGAGGGATGGGTTCAGGGTCAAGGCCAGCAGCAGAGGTGCTGGGCGCGGGCTGATGCCCAGATTTGGGCTCCCCATCACAGAAAGCAGCCCTGACCCCAGGGCTGGGGCATCCCTGCCCACGGGGATGGAGCTCTCCCGACCCCAAGCTGGGGTGTCCGGGGGCAGAGGGGGAATCCCCGACCCCAGGACCGGGCTGTCCCTGTCCCAGAGCTGCTCTGTCCCAGCAGAGGAGCCACATCCAGCCCGGCTGCCCCGTCGTGAGGTGCTGGGCTGCACCTCGCCACCTCCCTCGTACTGCCCGGGCTGCTCTGCTTAATTAGGGGCTTATTAACATGAATCCCAGAGACCTTCACCCCTTGAGCAGCAAAGGTGTGCGTGTCACGGCTCTTCGGCCAAAACCCAGCCACCCACCTGCCTCTGGAGGGATTTAACCTGATCTAAGCACAAACCCCATCTCCACTCCCCATAAGGGGAATTACCTGACCGGCTCAATTAAGCGTGACCTGTGCCAATGATTTGCATGTGTTTACCCCGCACTGATTTACATAATGCATCAGAATAAATATCTTTTACCTGTCACCGTAACCCAGATAGATGAGGACCCTTTGAAGATTTCTTTGCCAATGAGCGTGCCAAAAGTCATCATTTTGTCTCGTCCTGATGACTTAGTGCCGTTAATTACTGCCCGAGTGGGTGAAAGATGCTCACCAGCCCCTTTGGCTCTGTTCCCTCCACAGCTCCCGTGGGCTGGCACCTCCCCGCCGGCCTCTACCAGGGACATCCTGGCACGACATTCAGTACAGATTTGCCCCAAGAGTTCACAGTCCAAGCCTGGACATTAGTTTCAGCTCCAAAGAAAGAAAAAAAATCAACCCCAAGAGCCCATGAGGAGAAGGGGGGTAAAAAGCCAACTCAAATGCCAGACCTTGGGGCTGCAAAACTGTGATGTCCCCTGGGTGTTTTCTATTAACCTAAACCCCTCTTTTTTTTCTTGTTTTGCCTTTTTAAAGGCAGAAAACAGCATCGCCACTCTGGCTTGCCTTGCAGCAGCTTTGCACCTCCTTCTTTCCCCCAAATAACTATTTGCTGGCTGCATCGGGAGTATTGCTGATGCTCATCTTGGGGGGTCACATTTTCTTTTCTGGTTCTGTTTGGAAATACTTAATAATTCTGGTGATGGATACAAGTGCCTGAAGTCCCGGTGTCCCGGCAGGGGCCCAGCTCTCCATGGCCCATCCCTACCTGCAGCTGAGGAAGGGGAGCTGGTGGTGTGACTTCCTTCTGTGCCAGAAATTTTTGAGGGGGGGGAAAAAATAAAAAATTTAAAAAGAACAATCCCTGTGTTGGTTTTCTTGAGCAAAAAATAGACATTTTTGGGTAAAAATACCAGTTTAGTGAAAACACCCTGTTTCCATGTGTTCTGTTTATAGCCCTGGCAGAGACATCTCTCTCAGGCGTAAGGATCCAGGCTTTTTTTCACTTAAAACACCCCTTTTTGGTGGAAGGAGATGATTCTGTGTACCTGGGGAAGTGATCCCACATGGCTCCTCCTGTCCTGTGGCCTGGCCAAGCTGGATTCAGCCCCGCTGCCAGCACCGAGGCAGAGCCATCATCTCCTGCTGTGCAAAAACCCGGTGTGAGGATGTCCCCGTGGCTGGTGACCTCAGTGGTGGCCATGAGGGACATCTCCTGTCACCCCCCATGGGATGTGGGGTGGCACCAAAGTGGCGGCTCAGCCCCAGGGAGGGGGGCAGCTCCTCTCCCATCTCCATTCCAAAGGGCCGGGATGGGGGTGGGAGCTGTACCCAGGCTCCTGGAGTGCAGGGATGCAGGATTTGGGATGGGGCTCCACCATCGCAGTGGGTGTTGGGGAAACTGAGGCCTGCCAGGGCTTGGTGGCAGCTCTGGGTGCACATGAAAACAGGCACCTTCACAGCTCCCCCCCCATCCCCATGAATGAATAACATGACCCTGATTTAATTAGCTCTGAATATTTCCTCCATAATTTTGGTCATCAGAGATTTTTCTTGAAAAAAAAAAAGCCAAGGGTTGTGGGGTCTGGAGGGCAGCAGGTTATGAGTGGAGCAAAAGACAAAAAGCTGGGCTTGTTTCCCACTCACTTGCAAATGAAGTTATCTCCTCGCCTTCTAGGGAAGCACCTTGATGTGCTATATTGACCTTTTTTAATCTAAAATTGATTCGTCGCAAAACTCCACCTGGTCGAGAGCCAGGCAGGACCTCGGCGCCATTGTAACAGTTTTCATGATTCTACATCGGGGTGTTTTGCCTTTCTCTGGTATTTTTTGGAGCTGATGGGGCGGGTTGAGCCGAGCAGATTTGCCTGGCCATTGCTAAGATGCTATGGGGTGGTTGGGTCCTCACCTTTTTTTGACACGTGGGGTGAAACCGGTCCCTCTGCTCTGGGTTTCTGCTGTGTTTAAATCGCAGAGGCGCCCACAAGCTCGATCCTGACGATGGGTCTGGTCCCCCCTAATGCACCCTGATAACTCCTGGAACCCTGGGACACCTCTGCCCATAGAGGTGGGGGTGATGGGGCCTCTCTCAGGCTCTTGGTGAGGACCTGGAGAAGATGGAGCCAGGTGATGGAGTCAAGCCCACAGCGGGGCCAGGCCCACGGGTGGGATCCTTGGCAGCCTGCACGGCGAGGCATGAGCGTACACAGGGCTGGTGGAGGTTGCAGCTCACCATGCACTCGCTTACCCAGCCTGAGACAGCGTGGAACAAATGCAGAGGTCCCCGTGTTTCAAACACCCACCGGCTCGGTCTGGGCTCAACCACCTGGACCCCTGGTTAGCCCACCTGGGCTAACCCACTGTGTGGTGTGGGTGACCCCACCGGGTGAACCTGCTGCGTTTTTGCGGCGTGGTTTTTGTGTTCATGGAAGCCAAGCTTTTTCTGCAAAGCCCCATCCTTCACCCATGCGTGGGCCTCCCAAAATGCTCCTGGGAGGGAGAGAAATTCCCACTACGGAGGATGAAGGGAAAGGTCCAGGTGTGATAGGTGCTGTAGACTGGTGCCAGCAGTGCAGGGGATGTGTGGTCTGGCTGGGCCCTGCAAGCTCGGGTGGGTCAGACCACGGCCAGGCCAACACTTGCACATAAATGCATCTGCGAGGCTGCAGCCCCGCGGACCCCGTGCAGAGCTGCTCTGACACCTGTGAAGGGGGGGGGGGGGGGGCTGGTTTAGGAGATGCTTCCTTACAAAAATCAGGGCTGAGGATTAAGAAATCAGGGAACTGAAAAGCAGCAAACTGTTCCCAAGTCCTTCTGCCGAGTGGCATTTCAGAGGGAGGTTTCTAAAAGCAGCGTCCCGGTTATTCCTCGGCAGATGTGCACTCTCCGGTCCCCCTGAAGGTGTGCTGTGAAAAAAAGAACAAAGGCGAGCCGGGTGGGTGGCGGTTAGGGGCCAGGCCCTGCCAGCTCCGCCTGCACCCACCTCCTGGCCCAGACCTGCTGGGTGGGAGCCTTCGAGCGCCCAAAGCCGGGTGGGTGGGTGCTGCCTCGCCTCTGGCCAGCGGTTGCTCCCGGCTCTGGTGCCGGACTGCAGAGCGGGGGGGTCTGGGGGGGGGGTCTTTAGCCCAGGGCTGGGGCATCTGTCCTCCGCCCTGCGAGCCCGGCTGGTGCCCTGGCAGGGCCACCCCGGAGCCCCAAGGCGGGGGGGGGGGGGGGGGGACACATGCGGGGTCTCTGCGCTGCGGGTCCGGGCACCACCCGGGGGCCGCAGGGCCAGGGGGGAGGGCAGCGGCTCACCAGCCCCCCCCTTCGCAATTGCAAATCGCCGGGGATTTAACCCAGCCCCACCTGGCTCCGGAGGAGCGGGGAAATCATGATAAAATAAAATTTAAAAATAGAAAAAAAAAAAAAAAAAAAGTCTGCGATTAAAAAGACAAATACTGACGATAACGTGCGGCGGCCCCCGGAAGCCGCCAAAGGGCTCGGCGCGGTGTCCCCGGCCCCCCCTCACCCCCGACCCCCTCTCCCACGCCCCCCCCCCCAGCCTCCCCCCCCTCCCCGACCTTCCTCCCCCCCCCTCGGCCCGGTCTCCCACCCCCCTCTCCGACCTCCCCCCCTCACCCGACCCGGTCCCTCCCGCTCCCCGGCTCGGTCTCCCACCCCCCCACCCCAAAACCTCCCCCCCCCCCCCCCCGCCCTTCCCCGACTTCCCCCCCGCTACACCCGACCCGGCTCGGTCCAGCCCGGCTCCCCTCCCCACCCCCTCCCCGGTCCAGCCCCCCCCTCCCCGGTCCAGCCCCCCCCTCCGGGAGCGCGTCTCGCCTTGTTCCTGCGGCCCGGCCCGCCCTGCCCGCCGCGCCCCCGAGCCCACCCGCCGCCTCCTCCCCGCCCGCCCCCGGGGGCGCGGAGCGCGGCTGTGCGGGAGAGACAATAGAGGGGCCGGGCGGGCTCCGCGCAAACCTGCGCGCCCCGGGGATGGATGGCGAGGTGTGCGCGGCCCCGGGGTGCCTGCACCGGGGGCTGGGGCTGTAGCGGGCTCGGGGGGAGCGGGGCTTGGCGGGGGGGGGAAGGCGGAGAAGGGGGGCGATGCCCCTTTCTGAGCCCAGCCCGCCTCTGTGCTAACCTGGCAGGATGCGGGAGGCGGCAGGGCTGCTGTGAAGAAAGTGCCGGGGCTGGCCGGAGGCTGGAGAGAGGGGCATGGTGCCCCCCTGATGCTCCCCGGGTGGCGAAGGGCAGGCTGGTGAGGAGCTGGAGGACGGCGACGCGAGGCCACGGTGGGGGAAATCCGAGGCTCCGGCGGGGAAACCATGGGGAGATGCAATGGGAGATGTACGCTGGTCGGATTCTGCTGCCTGCAGCTGGTAAGGCGAGGGGCCGTCTGCCGCTCATCAGCATGCCGGGTTGTGCTTTGTGCGAAATGTTGGCTGTCACCGTTACCCACTCCGTCTCGGCAGTGACCTTGCTGTGGGACCGGCTTGGGGATGCTTCACTGCCACCCAGAAAAAAAAAAAAAAAAAAAAAAAAAAAAGGCAAAATGAAAAAAAAAAAAATATATAATCATCAAGGAGGAACGAAATGCCACCCTCGTGCCCTGCCTCAAACCAGCGCTGGCTGGAGTTGCGGCTGGGGAGATGGATGCGAACCAGTTCCCTGTGCCGTCAGCGCCTGGGGATGCGTCTCCAGCAGGTGTGAGCTTTGTTCCCAACTGCAATCTCTTCCCTCCGAGTTTGCTCCTGCCGGCAGTTTCCCATCCTGGTGACTCCAAGGATCTTTCTTGGGGTGCCGGTCCCCCAAGTTGGGGCAACAGGGAAACTTGGAGCCGCTGCCAGCACTTTGTAAACTCTCCTGCTTCCGAGCGGGACCTGTCTGCCCGCGGCCGGGGGACGTCGGGATGTTGGGGGCAGAGAGAAGGGAGAGGTTTAATTTTAATAGGATTGTCGGTCTTCGTAATAATTAGGTGCCGTGCTTGCTGCTGCCTGCGAATCAATCTTCATCAGGCTGCTGACAGAGGCGAAGGGAGAATGGGGGGTATTTGGGGGGCTTTCTGGTAAAACCAACAGCGACGAGGTTGCGATTAATTATCCTGCCTGGGTGGTTCGTTAACGGAGAATCAGCATCCTACAACTTGCCCCCCGTGACCATGGCGGGGATCATTGCCGTGAGGAAAATGAGGGGGGGACTGCTGAAATGCGTGGTGATCAGTCAGTCCCTGATGCCCCTGGGGGCTGGCGGGGTGTGATGGGCTGGCTGGAGGCAGCGATGGAAATGGGCTCCGGATCTCCGCTCTGGAGATGATGGTGGCATCCTGCTGACGGGCACTTTCCTCCCGGCGTTGTTCTTGTTCTTCCTCCATCCTTGAGAAGGCAGCGAGCGGGGAGGGGTCCCCACTTGTGGATAGAAGGGGGGGACTGGGCTTTCCTGGGGGCGACACAGGCAGCTTCGAAGCCAGTCCTCGACATTGGGGAGCGGAGCCGCCGTGGGCTCATCCCCGAGCTGAAGTCCCGCCGTTCCCGGTGTGAATGTCCTCTCGTGTCCCTGGCTGTCCCTCCTGGTTTGCTCGGTAAAGTCTTGCTTTGCACTTCACTCACCTTCCTCCTTATTTGGGATAAATCCGATGGGTGTTTTCCAGGTGTGCAGGAGTTTCCTGGCTTTTGGTCACTTTTTTTTTTTTTTTTAAATTCAGCTCCCAAACAGGTTTGTTGTCATTTATTCCCTGAGATATCCCAGATCTGAGAGATTTTAATCTTTTTACTTTAGGGAAAGAACTGAATCGGCGTGAGCTCCTGGGCTGAGAGAGCAGTTCCTGCTCACACCCGGAGAAACTTTGCACTGCAGATTGGGGTCAGGCTTTCCTCTCCACGCCTTGCTCTGTATGTCCTGGTGCTGCTGGAATCCCCAAAGACTTGGCTCCAAAATTGTTCCTTACAGGTGGCCTTTCCACCCCAGGCTCACCCCGTACCCCAGCTCACCCCCTCCCAGCCTGCGGGATGCTCTCCCAAGCTCTTTCCCAGCTCTGGAGGCAGCAGCTTGCACCCCGCTGGCTGTGGGGAGATGCCCCCTGCCCCCAGCACCCCATCCCGCCGCAGTGGCACCCACCCACCCCACGAGGAAAAAGTGCTGCTGGGTGCCCTGCCCAGGGGGGGGTGGGGGGGTCTGGGTGCCCACCCACAGCCCTCGGCTGAGCCCCCTTGGGTGACCAAGGCCAGTATTCATCCCCGAGGTGGCGTGGCCGGGGTGTGTGGGCCAGGCGGTGCTGAGATTTGGGAGGGGAGGATGGGGACCGGGAATGACGCCCGCCCCCATCTCTGCTCCTCTCCTGCTTCAGCTGCTCTGTGCCACCCCCGACGTGGGGATGGCACCGGGGGGCTCGTATCCCCTCTGTCCAGGTAGTCCTGATGCCTGTCCTGGACCTTCTGTACTATGAGGGGGGACAGCTGTGCTCCCAGTGTCCCCAGCCATTGGAGCTGGCGTTGGACTGGTGTGTGCCGGGGCTGCCCAGGAAGCTGTGCCTCATTGCTACTTGTCAGCTTGTGCCAACAGCGGGGCTACCCAGCGAGCATGCTGGCTTGCTAAACCTCACTGGCAAGCCCGTGCCTCAGTTTACCTTGGACAAAGCAGCGCGGGTGCGATGCAGCCTGCCCTGGGGTGATGCCACCTTCTCCACTGGTCCCTGCTGCCAGGCCACCTTCCTGCAGGCACCTTCCCACGGCTCTGCGGGTGCTGCCGTGACCCCGCGGGCACCTTCTCACATCGCCATTGGTTTCCCCAATATTTGCAACCTGGTCCCAGGGGGATGTTGCCCTGGTCCCCTTGTCCCCCCTGGACGCAGGGGGTGCTCGTGGTGGCAGGGGATGCTCTACAGCTGCAGGGTGCTGCTGGCACCCACTGGGCACAAGGTCCACGTGCAAGGTCCCCCAAGCTGGCGTGGGAGAAGATGGGTGTGGAGAGGCCACGCACCCTGCCCGGTGCAGGCAGAGCCCTGCCTGCTCCACCCCACGCAGCCCAGACCTCGAGGCAGCGGTTGTGCCTGAACCAGTTTGGGAAACTGGTTTGAGGGCCGTGGCATGGCGGGGAGCCTGGGCAGCTGATTTGGAGCATCCAAATACCCTACATGCTCTTTCTCAGCTGCTTGGCGAGGCGATGCTGAGAGTGCTGGGTGTCTCTGTTCCCAGGGGACAAGCAGCACCCACCAGATTTTGCCACCATTTATGTTTTTTCTGCGGAGAAACTCCAGGGATCCAGTTGCCAGACACCCACTGGCCCTGCCTCACTTCGAGAGGGGCTGCCAGAAGAAATTTATGCTGATGGGGTGGGATGAAAGCAAAACTCTCAGGTCTTCGCTGGTCCTCCCCATCGCCTGGGAGACCAAATAACTGGCTGGGGAGTTTCACGGTGGCTTAGTAAACCTTCCTCTGGGATGCCCATTGTTGGGAAGATTCATCTTTTCTTTACGCGAAGATGAACTGCTGAGGTGGTTGGATGGAAAATGAACCAGAAGCGATACTGCCCCGCTCACCACTGCCAGCGTGGGCACCGGGTGGTGAGCGCTGCAAACCGTGACTTGTTAACTCTGAAGCCTACTGATGTCGGTTGCAGATCAGAAACTGTGAGCTGGGATATGGGGATGTGGACTCTGGAAGCTGAGGTCTGGCCGGATCCGTCTGGCTGCTGTCACGCACCCCTTGGCCATCCTGCTCCGTACCCTGTGGGGCTGTGCTCAGGCGCTGGCACAGGGCAGGTTTGCTCGAGCAGGCTCCTTCTCCATCCAGAAGCGGTGACCCCATTGGCTTCCCTGCAGCATGGGGCTCATCGGGGGGGTGGGATGCAGCTCTGGCCCCAGAGCTGGGCGGGGACAGGAGATGCCCAATGCTCCCACCTCTGCCTGGAAGAGCTCAGCGTCGCTCTGAACCAGGGTTTTTCTTCTTTGTTTCTCTCCATTTCCTTTAATTGGCTGGAAGAGCACAGCTCAGTTGGCACCTCCTGCCTGCCAGAGCCTGCCGGAGCCTGCCGGGCTGGCAGCATGCGGTGCTGTGCCGTGCCATGCTGTGCCACACCATGCCAGCCATGGCACCTTCCTCCCCCAGCCTCCCAGGGTCGGGGTGTGGGGAGAGGGGCTGTGGGTCCATCCCGTCCTGCCTGCCCGAGCCGTGGGGTTCGCACGGGGCACCGAGAGCCTCTGGGATGTGACCCCCACTGGTCGCTGAGCCTGGACAAGGAGCTGACAGGGTCGACCTAACGAAAGATGGGCGGAGGGAGATGATGGTCCCATCCCCTGCAACTCTCAACCAGCCCTGTGTGACATCCCCTTCCCCAGCAGGACCCCGCTGCACCCTCAGCGTGTCATGGCCCTGCCGTCCCCTGCCAGCCCCACCACCCCTCTTGCCCCCATTTGCCCATTTTTTAGTCACCACCCCATTTGCCCATTTTTTAGTCACCAACCCTCTGACACCGGCAAGAGTCAGCTGCTGCCACCGGCTGCCATCATCTTTTGTCCTCGTGTGGTTCCCACCGCGCCCGATCCCCGGCGTGGGGACGGCACGAGGACGGCAGGGCCAGAGCCACCCCTGGCCACCTTCCCGCTGCCGGGCAAGGGGGAAAGGAGCCCGGGCTGAACTCTGGATGGGGGTTTTCAATTACACAATTAAATGCACAATTAGGTATAATTACCAGCGCTCAGAAGGTGCGACTGTTCATAATAGGCATGTAATCTACTGCAGTCACTGTTTATACTGCTCGGCTCCGCTCCCTAATGATTATGGAAAGCTTTCACATTTGCATGGTTGCCATGGAAATGGGGGGCTGACGGAGGCATCAGGGATGGTGAGCCCCTCGTCTCCCCGCACCCCATCTCCGCAGGATGGGACACGGTGGGTGCGGTGACGCCTCCGTGCCTGGGGGTGCTGCGGGCTGGTGGGGAGGGATGGCGATGCTCCGGGGCTGGGCAGTGCTGAGGATCCGCAGGCAGCCCCGGGAGGGGAACCGCTTGTGTTAGAGGCATGAAAAACCCCAACCCACCTTGTCACCTCCCTGGGTGACCACCCCAAGAGGACGGGAGGGACTGTGGGTACGGGTGGCCATGGAGAAGCGTCCCAGCCTGGCGAGACCTCCGCGTGGACGTGCATCCTCCGGTGCATCCGCATTATTCACAGGCAGAGCTTTGCTTGACAGGCCGCTATAAAGGTTTATTGGCGCGCGTTTGGGAAGGCAGCGCGTTACAGCCCGCAATTAAAACCGCAATTAAAGTGCAGTACGTCTAAATTTGTAGGACCAGCTAATGTGCACCCAAGAGTATTAACGAGACTGGTTGAAGAACTCTCTAAATCATTCATGCTGGTTCGTAACAGAGCTGGGAGTGATGGGG